AGTGGTATAGGACGATCTTGTCTGATGTAGTTAGCAATCTCATGGGCACAAGGTAAACCATGAGTGTGGCGAAGGACGCATCCACAAGCTTCAACATCAATACCAATGGAATTGGCTATCTTACTCTTAACAATCAAATACTCCAATGCAGAGATAGACACATTACCCCGTAGCTCCCTGAATTGAGAAGGTTTAAATTGATGTTGCACAACAGTTAGACTTTTCTCAAATGAAGCCTTGATATCAGTGTGTTGCAACTCAAGCAGACTGTGTATTTTCTCAAATGATGCCCAAAATGAGACTTGACATGAACCCAATTGTCTTTTAAGTTTTGCATGTGCACTCTCAGCCCTGTTCAATTCAATGTAAGTCAAAGTTAAAATCAAGTACATGGCACTTATTAATAACATATTGAAGAAAAGTAATCTTACCGATTCGTTGTAACATTGCCACAATGCATACACGTGTCTGTCCATGCCGCCACAAATTTGTCCTTGTAAGGAACCAACCAAGTATCCATGACGTATTTGACTGCGTCAGGATAACTACTGAATTCCTTAAGTAATGATTTAAGACACTCCTCGTATTGAATTTCAGAAGATGAATACACTACAGAGTTCCACTCATGGTTGAACTTCTCCAATTTTTGCTGTGTCTCAAACATTTTCTTGCATTTGGTCAACACATTCTTACTGATATGCCAACGACATAATAAATGTCTGGCACTCGGGAATATCTTCTGTATGGCATTCATCAAGGCTAGCTCTCTGTCAGTAACAATAACTGTTGGCACAACAAACCCATCCATGACATCACGCAATGTAGCTAACACTCACGTATAGTTATCGACCCTCTCATACTGTAAGTATGCAAAAGCTACAGAGAATGTCATTTCAGTTGATGTCACTCCCACAATTTCAAGAAGAGGAAGCCGATATCTATTGGTTTTATATGTGCAATCCATAATTAATATACGTGGAAAAGACCGAAATAAGTCCAAACTGGTAGGATGTGCCCAAAACAAGTCTGTCACAGTCATCATGGACTCTTCAGACCGATGGCGCTCAATGTAATTATACTTGGCCAATTCACCTAATAAGTGTTGCATCTGTGATCTTCCAGCTCTCTATACCACCCTGTTTCGATGGCGTACATTGTAAATGGTTTTAAGTGTGCTTACATTGAAGGCATCTCGCTGTTTCAAGGTTACTAGGATTTCTTTTTGCCGAACCATGCTCTTTGACATATCCATTAACAATGCTTTCTCATCCTTTGATAGCCTCCCCACATATGAATGTCCCTCGAGGTGCTCCGTAGGTAGATGATTATGCAATCTGCATACTACGGTTAATGTCCATTCATCATGTGTGGTAAACTTGTGAGCCTTCATATCAAAGGACAACCACACTTCTTCGTACCAGTTATTCTTGATGTATTGTTGCCATCATGTTTTAATTTCTTTGTTGCTCTATATTGGCCACTCCTCTCACAAGCAAGATACATCCTGGGTCTTTTTTTTCCTCCACCATAGTCTGATGTTTTGATTACAATGACCAAACCATTTTTCTTTCCAACTTCACGTACCCAGTTGAGCAATTCATCCTTACTTTTGAATACCTACAAAGTTAAATAAATATTATCAAACATTTACATTTGGTGAGCAATTCGAAACATAATCGTTATAATTTCGTAGACTGAACCTGTTCAGTTGTGAATTGAGTGGTGTAATCTAACACAAAATCCGCGCAAACCTGACTTCCTTGAGTTGACACATATTCCTACATGTTTTGTATAACATTACAAATTTTTAATGGCATTATAAAGATTAATTTGCAATTTGAAACTGTAAATTTGGTATGTAGTTTGCAAATTTGGAATATAAAATGGAAAAAAAAAAATTTACTTCATTCGGAAGTAGTTGTCCGATTTTTTTTTAAAATTTCGGAAGTTGAATGTTGTAAAAGTTACTTTTGTTCGGACAACAACTTCCAAAATTTATTACTTTGTTCGGACATCAACTTCCGAAAATACATAATTATTTCGGTAGTAGATTTCCGAACCAAATAACACAATTTGGCTCTAGTTATCCGAACGACGCTGGAAAAAAAAAAAAATTTAAACTCACATTTCCTTCGCTCTGTTTCACATGAACACTCATTTGCTGATTTTCAGAAGGCAAATCCTCCATAACAATGATGTTTTCCCTACGAATGACGAAGGTTGATGAACTTGGAAATGCCAAAACCCTTTGGTTTCACTTCTACCTCAATGAACATCATATACAGAAATTGATGGAAGAAGCTATGAATGAACATCCACAAGCTACACACACGATGCAACAGATATGAATTCACATCTGAGGTGTGCATTGAGATGTTTTCAATTAACAATGGTGTCTAAAATAGTAATTTCACTTAGGGATAAAATTGTAATAAAATTAAATATCATTAAGTATGTGTATTGAAGGGATTAGGTGTGTGTATATAGAAGCTCCCAATAAATTGATAGATGAAAGGAGTTCAGGGATATGGAAAATGAAAATGTTTAAGTCCTGGAGGGCTTACCTTTATTGTCACATCGTAAGTGAGTTTAGGGATCTAAATATTAGATTAAAGAGTGAATTATACTAACGGTTTCATAGTTTGGGACTCGTATTATTTTGATTTTTGATTTTTTTAATTATAATATATTTATTCTTAAATTTTGAATATTATTTTAAATAAGGATAATTGAAAATAAAATTACTAAATTTCAAAGGCAAAATTGTCAATTTGATAAAATATAAACTAATTTGACAAAAATAACTATCAGTTTTTTTTTTTGAATTTTTGAAAATTATTTCTACCTACCAAAAATAATATTATGTAAAATTGATAAATCTTTTACGCATTTATTTATTTTACGAAATTAATTTTTATTTTGTATTTAGATGATGATAATGTAATGGGTGATTGTTGGGCTTTTAATGTGTAATCGATATATTTAATATATGAAATATTTTTAGTTTTATATTTTTTGATTTAATGAATTGGTTTAATAATAATATCAAAGTTGTCGTCATATTTGGCTTTTGAAAAAAATAGAAACTAATTTAATAAAAATAAAAACAACCACCTATTACATGATCATCATCCAAATACATAATAAAAATTAATTTGATAAAATAAATTAATAAATAAATGTGTAAAAGATTTATCAATTTTATATAATTTTATCTTTGGTGGATAAAAATAATTTTTAAAAATTCGAAAATAATTTTTTGACATTTATTTTTGTCAAATTAATTTTTATTTTATCAAATTGACTAGTTTGCCATTGAAATTAAACAATTGTATTTTTAATTGTTCTTATTTAGAACAAAATTCAAAATTTAAGATAAAATATGTCATAATTGAAAAGTTTGAGACCAAAATAGCACAAATTGTAAACTATAGGAGCCATTAATGTGATTTGCCCCAAACTAAAAATTATAACACTTGCAATAATGCTTGAGACCCAAACTTTTAAATTCATAAATTCACTCACAATAATGTGGTGACGGAGTTGGGCTCTATATTATTAGTGTATAATAGGGGTGGGCGCGGGTCGGTTGAATTATACTAACGGTTTCATAGTTTGGGACTCGTATTATTTTGATTTTTGATTTTTTTAATTATAATATATTTATTCTTAAATTTTGAATATTATTTTAAATAAGGATAATTGAAAATAAAATTACTAAATTTCAAAGGTAAAATTGTCAATTTGATAAAATATAAACTAATTTGACAAAAATAACTATCAGTTTTTTTTTTTTTGAATTTTTGAAAATTATTTCTACCCACCAAAAATAATATTATGTAAAATTGATAAATCTTTTACGCATTTATTTATTTTACGAAATTAATTTTTATTTTGTATTTGGATGATGATAATGTAATGGGTGATTGTTGGGCTTTTAATGTGTAATCGATATATTTAATATATGAAATATTTTTAGTTTTAGATTTTTTGATTTAATGAATTGGTTTAATAATGATATCAAAGTTGTCGTCATATTTGACTTTTGAAAAAAATAGAAACTAATTTAATAAAAATAAAAACAACCACCTATTACATGATCATCATCCAAATACATAATAAAAATTAATTTGATAAAATAAATTAATAAATAAATGTGTAAAAGATTTATTAATTTTACATAATTTTATCTTTGGTGGATAAAAATAATTTTTAAAAATTCAAAAATAATTTTTTGACATTTATTTTTGTCAAATTAATTTATATTTTATCAAATTGACGAGTTTGCCATTGAAATTAAACAATTGTATTTTTAATTGTTCTTATTTGGAACAAAATTCAAAATTTAAAGTAAAATATGTCATAATTGAAAAGTTTGAGACCAAAATAGCACAAATTGTAAACTATAGCAGCCATTGGTGTGATTTGCCCCAAACTAAAAATAATAACACTTGCAATAATGCTTGAGACCCAAACTTTTAAATTCACAAATTTACTCACAATAATGTGGTGAAGGAGTTGGGCTCTATATTATTAGTGTATAACAAATCAAGAATTGACACATATTATATTACATCATTGTAAGTACAATTATGGAAGATTTTTGGGATCTTAAACATTTTTCAAAGTAAAATGAGGGGCAAATTACACTTTACCCCCTCAACTATCACCCTTTTTACTTTATTTCCTCAAACTAAAAATTAATATAATGTATCCTTTATCCTTTGTAAATTTTCAATTTAACCTTTATGTCTTCATTTTGTTAATAAAACAGACAAAAAATATACATATAATATATAGATATCATATTTATGACAGACATATGCACTTTACATATATCTAACAAAATAGAGAGATAAATGTTAAATTAAAAATTTTCAGAAGATAAAAGGAGTACATTATATTAATTTTTAATTTGAGGGAATAAAATGAAAAACTGTGATAGTGGAAGGGGATAAAGTGTAATTTCCCCTAAAATGAGAGAATGGTTGAAAGGGGCACCCAAAAAAAAAAAAAAAAAAAACAAAAAACATGCCAAGAAAAATGTGTAACAAAGCTGGGAATGGAGCATCTTCTTCTTCTTCTTAGATTCAGGCAGCACTGAAACAGAGTGCTGTCATTGTGGAACTGGTCAGTACTCAGATTCAATTCTCTCTCTCTCTCTCTCTCTCTCTGTGTCTGTGTGTGTCTCTTTCTCTTCCTTCCATTGCACCCTTGTGGAGCAAGAGGCAGCCATTGTTGCTTGCTCTGCCCCCTTCAGTTTCAAAACCCCACTTTGACCAAACCTCAAATCCAACCAGCTCTACTCATTACAGCATTTCTAAATTGAATAAATCTAACAATCCACTCTTACCTTCCTCAGATCTGTAGCTTTCTACGTTTCTTTGTATGCGAAGAAGAGGTGAAAGAAAATGCTGCGTTTGAGGGCTTTTCGTCCGACGAACGACAAGATCGTGAAGATTCAGTTGCATCCAACACATCCATGGATCGTCACTGCCGATGCGTCCGATCGCGTCTCCGTTTGGAACTGGGAACACCGCCAAGTTTGTTCTTGCTTTCGTTTTAGTCTTTTTTGATGATTTTAGAAGAACAATTATATAGTTTGTTTTTTTGATTCAATTTCGTTTGTTGGTTTTGATTTCTGTTTCTTATTCAGGTGATTTATGAGCTCAAAGCCGGTGGCGTTGACGAGAGGCGGCTGGTGGGTGCCAAGTTGGAGAAGCTCGCCGAGGGCGAATCAGGTGAGAAATGCCCTTTGGAATCTGTAATTTTATGTTCAATGAATCAATTCATATGCTGTTTGTATGTATTTGTGGTGGAGAGTATGAATGATCAGCTGAGAAGTTGCTAGTTTAAGTTATTGTTGAATCAGATTGTGGGTTTCAATTGGGAATTTGAACATAGTCGAATTCAAATAGACACTAACTAGGTACTAGCTTTTCGTGGCACAAAGATGAAAATTTATTGAACTTGTAGCTATACATATTTTTGTAAGTTGTGACCTTTTTGTTTGGGGGCTCGTGTGAAAATTTATCGCTCTTGTTTGTACAGCACCCAAAATAGAGTCTAAATCCTTGCCTTTTTTTTTTATTCTGGAACATAACCCTTTAGCTATTCTAATACAAACTTTGAAAATTATGACAGTGTTTCCTGCATTCGGCCTAGATCACTATCCTAATATGGAAAAAGAAAATAAGACTATACCATCCATGCTTGACAAAGTTTGGGGTCTTCAATTTCTCCTAAGACCTTATCTCAGATATTTAGATATTGCTCTATAAAAAAGTATATCCATTGTCCACGCAGCACAATCTATCACAGGACTAATGTGCAGTTGTGAAACAAGTTAAACCATAGACAAAAAAACTTAATCCAAACTAGTGCAAATACACCCTTTAGCAACTCAGGTTGAAAATGTTAAAAGAAGGCCAACAAGACTGCCATAACAGCAATCAAACCACAGAAATATCACCTAAAGGATTAAGCTTGTTTATGAGAACTTGTTCTGCATAAGATGGTTAGCTATCAATTTAAGATTTTCATATTATTGAGGATTTATAAATGTGGTACCATGCAAGCTTCACTGGGGCTAATACTTCTAAGTTCTAATCAACTATATTTGAATTATACTTCAATTTTTTGTTAGGACAGGTCATTTTGATGTTTTATGTTTAATTATATACTGTTATGATTTGCATTTACGAAGATTGGGAACCTTAGGTAGCATTTGGTAGAGCTTTCTAAATATGATTTGAGAATAGAAGTTGTATTTTGAGTTTGTGAGTTTTGGAATTATGATTTGAGTGTGGAAAATTTGTTTGGTGAATGAGTTTTGAAATTTTTTTTGAATTGAGTGGGGAATTTTTGATGTGACATATGATAGTTGATACAAAAACACACAACGCATAACCAAACACACAACTTAAAATTCTATTAAAGCTCATAATTTTTTTTTTAAATTCAGAAAATATTTTTTGTTGATTATATAAAAACTAACATGTGTTAATTGCAAAAAAAAAAAAAAAAAAAAAAAAATCCCTGTGGCCGGATGATCGGTAAAAAGAAGAAGAAAAAGAAATGCACTATTCCGGTCAATCGGTTGAACGACCGGTTAGTCCAAATTTTTTCGCCTTCGACCGAGTTTTTAAAAGTGAGCGTGGAATTAATTTTTGAAAGTTGCAAACAAACACCACGTGAGAACCAATGACTGGAACTAAAGTTCCAAAACTCTACCAAACAGAGCCTTATTTTTTCTTTTACTAACATCTTTATAAATATGGATTGCATTATTGGATTCCAATTTGTTTCATTCTATTTTTTTAACAATATTTAGAGTGACAAGAGTAAATGGTATAACGAGACTACCAAGAAAGCAACCAAAAAATAGATAATAAGCCTGACCTAAAATATTTGATGCATGTATGTGAGAACTTGTTCCTACATAAGTTGGTTAGATATGAAATTTGGATTTTCATCTTATTGACGATGTATATGGAGCAACTTTTTCAGAAATGGGGTAAGGCATCTTGCCCTCCCTACACCTTGCTTTAGCAATAGTCTTGTGCACTAGGTCATCCTTTTTTTTGATGATTTATTAATAAATATTAAGTGCATATTCAAGATTTCATCCTGTTTAATTCTGCATCCATATATATATTAACTTCTACCATTATCAAGTTGGTCATTTTGATAGTTTAATCTGAATTACAGACTGCAGCAATCTTGAGTATCAAAAACTATTTCATGTTGGGGGATCTTCTTCTTCTTCTTTTTTTTATTTTTTACTAGTAGCTTGCAAATGTAAAATGCTAATGTTTGTAGTTCATTTTCCCCCTCTAATCTTGGTTAGCTCATTTACTGCATTTTAAAAATTATTTTAATGGTATCTTAGGAATGAATTCCTAGACAATATATATATTGTATAATATAAATCAATTTCCATTTTAATCTATTTGGTGCAATATTTTGATCAATTTTTATCATGCAATCTTCAATCCCTTTTTAGTCTGGCTGTATAATGTGTGTTGCAGAGTTTCTCCTTTTTTTTTTTTCCTGGGACATATTCAGCAATGCTTTTATTATTTTACAATGAAGACTCTATAGAATCATGAAATATTAAACAGCAGAACACCTGGATGACAGATAAATATATGTTGGAATCCTTTCTGTTTGGTTGGGCAAACAGTAATGAAACTGACTTGCTCCTGTTTTTGCATTAGGTCTGCTATACCATGTTTTTTCTTCTAGGAAAAAAATTCCTAAATAGTTGTGATGGGGTGGGTTTAGTACCGGGTGTCCCTCCCCTTCCCTGTTTGGTTTGGGAAGAAACTTTTTTTTAGCTTTTTTGGCTAAAATAGCACTAAAAGACAAAATAAGTTAAAATAGCCAATAAGACAAAATGTCACATCAAACTTATAATCATTTCTCTCACAAATATCACATCCAACTATAAAAAAATCAAATTATCTTCCCAAACACAAAAATTTTAGCCTACTAAAATAGCCAAAAACTAAAATAGCCTACTAAAATAGCAACTTCCCAAACAACCACTAAAGAGAAGTTCCACTAAACCATGTCCAAATGCCAAACTATAGCAGGGTGGAGCAGGGCTTAAATTCACACTGGATGGGGTGGGTTCCCAATGTGTTTTTAATGGTATAAAATATACTTCAATTTTCAAAATCATCACTATTGTGTGGCTTACATGGCACATCATCTCGACCCTGAACTATAGTGGGGTGAGGCAGGGATGTAATTCACACTAGATTTGGTGGGTTCCCAACAGGTTTTATTAGCTATAAAAATTTGTTTTTACATTGCCCATTCAATTCACCACTCCCATGTGACAACATGGCACACATTTTATGCTGGAAAGGTATTCACAAGGGAAACCAACAGCTTTGCATTGGAAGGAACAGAGTGCATGAGTCTTGCTTTTATAGAGAGTGGGATGCTTCATGTCTCTCTATTCTTCCGATGAGGATGGTGATGGAACTACTTCTTTTGTTACTAAGGTCAAAGCTTATGATACTCTTGTTGTCCGACATTGTTCTTGCAGGGATAGAAGTAGTCTTTGTATAATTACAGTCTAGCAATTGACAAAAGTTTGTTTGGTTGGGATAACTGAACTTTGTATTGTTTGAAAGATCATGTTTAGGGTGCAGTGGCCAAGTCCCCTCCCCATCCCAAACCCAATGTGGGTTGATCCCTCTAATCCCACTCTTTCTCCTGCTCTGGTTTGAGATATCCCATCCCCATCCCTACAGGGGTGGGTCCCTGAAATTTCGGGGGCAAAATGACATCTCTACACATAATTGGTTACAATACATCTTTATGCATTCAGCACTTATATGTACTGATTGATACATTGAGACAAGTATTTTCTAGAATTTTCTTCTGATGTTTGTTGTTTGTACTGTAGAGCCTAAAGGGAAACCTACGGAAGCCATGCGGGGAGGGAGGTAATGTATTCCGTTTCTTTTCCATTTCTTTGTTGGTTTCTATGGCTTCTTTTGTTGAAACCTGAACTTGCTATTGGGCGGCATGGTTCAGTGTTAAGCAGGTTAGCTTTTACGATGATGATGTAAGCTTTTGGCAACTCTGGCGTAATCGTTCTGCTGCTGCTGAGGCTCCACCAGCAGCTAGTCATCTCAGTTCGACTTTCAGTTCTCCTGCTCCATCAACAAAAGGAAGGCATTTTCTTGTCATCTGTTGTGAGAACAAAGCAATTTTTTTAGACTTGGTGACGATGCGTGGCCGTGATGTATCAAAGCAGGACCTTGACAATAGATCACTTCTCTGGCAAGTCCCTACTCATATGTGATATTTAATGGGTGTTCATACTTCTCTGACAAGAGAGGCGCATGTATTTAATTCCATTATGCCTTTCAAGTTATTTGTTGGTTATATTGATTTCTCAATTTATATAAATTCTATAATTTTTTAAGAACTATTCACTGTGTTTGGTTTGAGTTTTCTGGATTAAGTTTTTTGAAAATTGATTTTTTTGGTTTTTGTGTTTTTATTTTTATTTTTAGTGAATATTTTTTAAATTTTAAACATTTTTTTTTTTACTTTTTTAGATGCACCTTACTTAGATGTATCTAAAAAGTAAAAAATTTGTGAAAAAATATTTTAAAAAATTAATAAATACATAAAAATACAAAAAATGTACTGAATTCTTGTATTTTTTTTTTTTGTATTTTTGGTATTTAGTGAATTTTTAAAAGATTTTTTTTTATAATTTTTTTACTTTTTAGGTGCATTTATGTTAGGTGTATCTGAAAAGTAAAAAAATTACTTAAAATATTAAAAAAATTCAGTAAAAACAAAAAAACATGAAAAATAAGAAAGTAGAATTTTCTGAAAAGTGTTTTGGAAAACTGAAAACCAAGCAAGGTGATTGCCGTTTCAGCATGCAACATTTAAAACTAAAAGAAAAACAAAAAGGAAGATCCATTTTCTTTGTTTTTGGGCCTTCAGTGGATTCTTTTTGCTGTATACTTGGGCCATCTCTTCTCTTACTAATTGAAAAAAATGGCACTTTGTGGCTGTGGTTTATACTGTAGAGTAGCCTTTTTTGTTTTTAAATTGTTATGAAGGACAAGTATTTATGTTTTTTGCTGCATTGTACTGTTTATATGTTCTAAAATGCTCATGTTCATGTTTCACTTGGGTCTTTTTGAAATTACCTTAGTTGCCAATCTGTTTGCAACAATTGGGTGCATCACTAACTAAAGAATACTCTTAAAGTTGATTTTGTGCACCTTTGGAGCTCAATTGGAGAGAGATCACCACAATAAGAGGTTCCTTTCGTGGGATATAAATATTCAAGAAAACAAACAATGCTTGGAAAGAACCAAACATAGATGCTATTAGGAAAGGTTGGTCTTGTGGTATATTTTTTATGAAAATAATTGATGCTTTCTTCTTTGGATAGAATGAACTATAAGCTTCAATATGCTGGACTTGCCCATGAAACCTTTGATGGCAAATGCAGTTTGTGGTAGCCCTTGAATAAACCAAGTTTCAACAATACATTCAGCTAAAAAAGAAATCACTACTCTTTAGTAACCTTAATCTATGGTAACCTGAACCGTAGTTGTTACAGTAGCACCGTGAATTGTTGCTATAGTAGCTGTCTTTCCTCTCGAAGCTTGAAGATGTATGTTCCTTCGTTAGTGATAACAGGCAAGGGTTGTTGGTCTGTAGTGTTCTCTATTGCAGAAACAATAGTCAACTAGCTCTGACCAAATTGATTCTGAGGATCTTTGTCTCTAGACTGGTCAAGGATTATAGTATTTATGTGATAGTTGAAGTCCTTCCTTTACTTGATTTGTTATCTATTATGATTCACCTGTTTTCCACATGGCCCAGAGCATGATGTGGTAAATTTACTGGAACTGTTATTTGCCATTGCAGTATGGAGTTCCTTTCAAGATCGTCTTCTGGGGATGGTCCTCTTGTGGCTTTTGGGGGATCAGATGGTGTAATTAGAGTTCTTTCAATGATAACATGGAAGGTCTTCTTTCTGTTTTTGTTTCTCCCCATTTTATCATTTCCATTACAATATGCTTTGGTCTACCAGGTTTAGTGTTATTATTACTTGAATTGTGCAATAATCCTTGTTTGTCTGTAGCTTGTTCGAAGGTACACGGGAGGTCATAAAGGATCAATTTATTGCTTGATGACCTTCATTGCTTCTTCTGGCGAGGTAAATTTTGATTTATCTAATAAATTGAATTTATGGATTCTATAGCTTATGTTTGTTGTTATTACATCTGCCTCAGACATTTTAATTTGAGAATCCATCACTCTCTCTCTCTCTCTCTCTCAATTTTTGTTACTGAAATTCAGAATTGAAGGAATTCCAAATTGTTTCCCATGTGATTATGTTGGATTTGTAAAGTTATCAATGCTTTCACCTTAGATTTGATTTGAGATGATGCTTGAATTCTCCTTGGTTAGCATTGTTGCATTTGTAACACACTAAAAATTAGTGCTATGGACAATTTTGTCACAAGAAAAGAGAAGATTCATACGGTCTCTCTCTCTCTCTCTCTCAGTGTAGTCTGTGTGTGGAGTAAGGACGGAGGAGTTCCAAATGCCATATGTTGCGATGAGATATGATTCATTATTTGAGGGCCGTGGCTGGGTATAAACAAGGTTATTTGCATTTTAAACAAAGCCCTCTTCACTAAATTCTTTGGGTCGATGGGCCTTGAGAAACAAACATTGAGGCTTAGTAGCAGGAATCGTTATAGTAGGTGATGATTTTTTGGAAGAAACGCGATTTTGCGTTCTCGAATCAGAATCATGTAAGAAACGCGATTCTTAAGAGAGAGAATCGCGTTTCAGTATGAGATAAAAATGTCTGTGAAATCAAACAACTCCAGATGCAAGAAAGTGAAGAACCTGACAATGTTGAAGCTCAAAAGGGTGAAGTTGAAGCCTTAGATCGAGGTATGTCCTCCTCCTTCTTTGCTTCGTTTTTCTTCTTCTTTCATCACTTTGAAGGTCGTCTCTCTCTCTCTCTTTGTGCTTTTCGTCTCTCTGTCGCAGTTCATCTCTCTCGCTGGCAGATCGTCTCTCTCTCTCTCTCAAATCGTCTCCCCCTCTGTTTTTCGTCTCTTGCTAATCGTCTCCCCTCTTTGTTTTTATCCCTCTCTCTCTCTCTCCCTCTTTATTTATTCTCTCTTCCTTTTTATTTATTTATATTTCTTTTTATTCTCATAAAGATTTAATATACTTTTTTTTATAACAAAAACCCTACATTTTTATTTATTTATACTTGAGACCCTCTTTTTATTTTTTCTATTTTTAATTTTTTTTTTCAATTTTATACATATAATAAATAAATAATATTATAACATATATATATGTATGTCAATTTATTTATTAAAAAAAATATGTACATGTATGTCAATTAAAAATAAAAAATAAAAAAAAATTAGATAGATAAATTAAAAATATAATTAATAAAAATAATACATAAGCGCTCCTAATCTACGGCTCCTTTAAGTGGCCACGTTCCCCCGCTCCCGCTCCGTGCAACTAAGCATTGAGGTAGTTGATATCTTTCAATTTTGAGACTCTTATAAGTTGTCAGGTCCATATGCATGTGGAAGCCAAAGAGCATTTCCAAAAGCATATGGTTTCAAAATTGGGTTCGGAATCTCAGCAAAGGCATTGGGCTCAACATTCTGCTATAGCAAGACACAACGGGATGCAAAATGAGAATGATACAATACAACCTATGTTTATCCCCATTTTGAAAACAGTTTGCATCAAAGGCACTCTTACAAGCAGATTGTTTGGTACGCTTGCAAGAGGTACTCATGATGACTACCACTACCCAACACACAATCGCCATTAATAAGGCAACTTTGCCTATGTCAAAATGAAATACAATTTGAGGGAACCAGTCCTGATCCTAATATCAATGTTTCTTGGCTGTTGGAGGTGCACATAATTTTTTGAATGCAACTATAAATGACCATATAGTTGTTGTGGTTTGGGTTTTGGTTGAGGTTTGTTGTGATCCTTTCGAGGACATTTCCCTGTGTCACTTTTATCTACAAAAGGTGGTTGTAGATGGGGATCCTATGGTGAGCCTAGGGAATGAAGACAACTTGATGGGGGAGTTTGTGGTGAGATCATTAAGTCCATGTTGAGCCAGCTGAATGATATTCTGAGATGCTTTAAGCATATCAGGAGCATTTCCTGTAATATCCTTTTGTAAATCTTTGACCTGCGGTAAAATGATGTGGTCTTGACAAAGATGAGCTCAAAAGTTGAATCCAAAGTACCTTTGTCATATGCTTAAAATGTCTATTTATATTTATGTAATTAATAACCATTTAATTAAATGATACTATGATAGTAAATAACTTTTAGGATAATTGTAGAGGGGTTTAGGAGTAGGATTGTGTTGGGTTGTGGAATTAGACTTGTTCTTCATTCACTTAGAAATCAAATTTGATTCACACAATTATTTATTATTGAGATGGGTATGGGTGGGGCCAAATACATGCTTTGAAGTACCACTTCAATTCCACCTCAACTAACACCCTCCCTCGGCATGGCTTAAATGTCTAATTTATGTAAGCAAGTGAAATTCAACAACCTCCAACAAGTCAAATGGTATGGGATTGATCCAAAGTGACCTTAGTAGATAAAGGTTGAGGTTCAAAAATTGGGTCAAACGTGTGAAGATATATGTTTTGGAGAAAGAGAGAGCGAGATCCAAAATTCAAAAGATATCCTACCCTACCTACATCCAACCTTTTTCCTACCATGTTAACTGGCTATATTTTTTTATGTTTTCAGAATATATATTCTTGGAATAAATTTAGACATAGTTGTCAAATCGGGATTTGAATCGTGAATTGAAATGGCCTCATACTAAATCATGAATTGAATCAAATCGTGAATCGTAAAGATTTAGTCACTTATTCTAAATTACTTAGAAAAATATGTCTACACACTTGGATGTTAAACATATCTTATGAATCTGAAACATTTAGACTTAAATCAATGAAATTGTTGTTCTGAATGATGATCACGTAGTTTAATAAGTAAGAAGTTAACAAAGGTTCCTATGTAAGATCACTATCTTACCTTTTCTTTTATTAGATATTTCTTATCAACCATTCTTAATGAAGACAGTAAACAAAAACAAACTCTCAATTTTCAAAGTAACAATAATTTGACCATATTGAAATTTGGATAATAAGCATACATATTTTTCCAAGTAACAATGACCAAATAATAAGAAAAATTTATTTAGAATATTTTATTTTAAATCTTAAAAATATTTTAAAATGTATAACTGACCTCACCCATGAAATATTCAACTATATTCAATTTAATTAAATTGCAATAGATAATTTATGATGTAAGTTATTTTAATTTTAAACATTTTTAGAAGATATATTATGATTTTTTAAAGGAAAAAAATGAGAAGAATGGTTAAAAACATGTTAGGTCTGAGTGAATCTAATTGGAACCTATTAAAAACTCTATGATCACTAAAATAACAACAAATCATGTATATATATTAGTGATTTTGGTATTAAACGCTATTAGAAGTTGTATAATGTCATTTTCACTAAAAAGATGGAGAAAAAAAGAGTCGAAAATATGTTGAACACAATAGTTTCAAAAACTGCATGAATCATAAAAAGTGAATCAAATCGTGAATCGATTGTGAATCATGCGATTTTACAAAGTAGATTCATATCGATTTTGCAAAAATTTCAAATTGAATCAGCAAATCAAATCACAAATTGTAAAAAGTTTGATAACAGAATTTAGTATAAAATTAATAAAATTTATATTGGACATTATATAAATTGGGATTAGTTATAGACAAATAATAATTAACTAATTAAGGTGTTGATATGGTTGACTGATGTTGGAAGAATTAAGGTGGGTAGGTTTACATCTTTTGTGTCTAAAACTCCGTATTCCTAATTCAAACCCATTTATTTGGGCATTAGAATTTGGTACTCCAAATTAGTGGAGGTGAGGATCCAAAAGTTTTTTTTTTTTTTTTTTTTTTGTTGTTGTTGCCAACGCATTTAAAAATGCAAAAATTGTGGTTTGCTTCATTTCCATGAATTTTTCATATTGTTCATTTTTGCATTAGTTATCACACGCACATACTTGCATGCAAGGCATGTAAATACTGATTGACTTCTCTTCACATTCCCAATAAAATTTAACCACATTTGCTCCCCTTTTTCTTTTTCTTTTTCTTTTTTTTTTTCTTTTTTTTTTTTTTTTTTTTTTTTCCTGGTAGTTCTTTTAACAATGTATTACATCCTGTGCAAGACATCGCATACATGTCTTGAATATGTTGAATCTTTTGGTAATTATGAATATGTTTTATCCCCAATGTGTTCCAGTTGGTCTTCATTAGTAGAATCTGACTAGACATTTCATTTATCAAATATATACATCTGAATGTGCCAATTTTTTCTCATATTAAATAGCTTATCAAAATTTTCTTTTGTTTGTACATGAACATAGGCTCTTTTGGTTTCGGGTGGCAGTGATGGTCTACTTGTACTTTGGAGTGCGGACCATGTTCAAGATTCACGGGAACTTGTTCCCAAGCTGAGCTTGAAAGTAGGTTTCTTCTTGTCTCCTATGTCCTTCAATTCATTTTCTTTATTCTCACTGCTTCAAATTTTCCCTTTCTAATTGCTGATTAGAGAAAAAAAAAAAAAACCCTTTCCAAGTGTTGTATGACTGATGTTTGACAAATAGTACAGACTGATGTTTTTTTTGGTTATATTTATTCAGATGTGGATTTCACTTAAAGTGTTTGTATAACTCTCAATTTTCAAAGTAACAATAATTTGACCATATTGAAATTTGGATAATAAGCATACATATTTTTCCAAGTAACAATGACCAAATAATAAGAAAAATTTATTTAGAATATTTTATTTTAAATCTTAAAAATATTTTAAAATGTATAACTGACCTCACCCATGAAATATTCAACTATATTCAATTTAATTAAATTGCAATAGATAGTTTATGATGTAAGTTATTTTAATTTTAAATATTTTTAGAAGATATATTATGATTTTTTAAAGGAAAAAAATGAGAAGAATGGTTAAAAACATGTTAGGTCTGAGTGAATCTAATTGGAACCTATTAAAAACTCTATGATCACTAAAATAACAACAAATCATGTATATATATTAGTGATTTTGGTATTAAACGCTATTAGAAGTTGTATAATAGCCCTGTTTGGTAGAGCTGTGGGAAAGTGCTTATAGCTTATGCCTAAACAGCTTATAGCTTATAACTTTCAGCTGAAGCTGATTTCCAGCTTATTCTTAAAGCATCTCCTGCCCCACTCAAAAAATAAGCTGATTTCTGACTTCCACAAAGCTATAAGCTATAAGCTATAAGCTAAATCAAACACATCAAAATAGCTTAAATTAAGCTGAAAGCTGAAATAAGCTGTAAATAATTTCTGCCAAACAGGCAAAATGTCATTTTCACAAAAAAGATGGAGAAAAAAAGAGTCGAAAATATGTTGAACACAATAGTTTCAAAAACTGCATGAATCATAAAAAGTGAATCAAATCGTGAATCGATTGTGAATCATGCGATTTTACAAAGTAGATTCATATCGATTTTGCAAAAATTTCAAATTGAATCAGCAAATCAAATCACAAATTGTAAAATTTTGATAACCGAGAATTTAGGTATAAAATTAATAAAATTTATATTTGGACATTATATTAATATTGTGATTAGTTATAGACAAATAATAATTAACTAATTAAGGTGTTGATATGGTTGACTTGATGTTGGAAGAATTAAGGTTGGGTAGGTTTACATCTTTTTGTGTCTAAAACTCCGTATTCCTAATTCAAACCCATTTATTTGGGCATTAGAATTTGGTACTCCAAATTAGTGGAGGGTGAGGATCCAAAGGTTTTTTTTTTTTTTTGTTGTTGTTGCCAACGCATTTAAAAATGCAAAAATTGTGGTTTGCTTCATTTCCATGAATTTTTCATATTGTTCATTTTTGCATTAGTTATCACACGCACATACTTGTATGCCAGGCATGTAAATACTGATTGACTTCTCTTCACATTCCCAATAAAATTTAACCACATTTGCTCCCCTTTTTCTTTTTTTTTTTTTTTTCCTGGTAGTTCTTTTAACAATGTATTACATCCTGTGCAAGACATCGCATACATGTCTTGAATATGTTGAATCTTTTGGTAATTATGAATATGTTTTATCCCCAATGTGTTCCAGTTGGTCTTCATTAGTAGAATCTGACTAGACATTTCATTTATCAAATATATACATCTGAATGTGCCAATTTTTTCTCATATTAAGGGTTGGTTTGGATTGTTCTAAAAAAGTGCACTTTTTGACTTATTGGCTTATATGGGTTGGGTTTGGGTTGGATTTGATGTGATGTGTTAGAGAGGTGATGTGATTTAAATAAGATGATGTGACTTAAATAGGATAGTGACTTTTTGACTTTTTGTATTATTTAGGACATGCCAAACCAAGCCTAAATAGCTTATCAAAATTTTCTTTTGTTTGTACATGAACATAGGCTCTTTTGGTTTCGGGTGGCAGTGATGGTCTACTTGTACTTTGGAGTGCGGACCATGTTCAAGATTCACGGGAACTTGTTCCCAAGCTGAGCTTGAAAGTAGGTTTCTTCTTGTCTCCTATGTCCTTCAATTCATTTTCTTTATTCTCACTGCTTCAAATTTTCCCTTTCTAATTGCTGATTAGAGAAAAAAAAAAAAAAACCCTTTCCAAGTGTTGTATGACTGATGTTTGACAAATAGTACAGACTGATGTTTTTTTTGGTTATATTTATTCAGATGTGGATTTCACTTAAAGTGTTTGTATATGACATAAGTTTATGATTTGGGTGTCACTGATTGATGTGATTTCCATCACAAAAATTGCTAAATGGTTACTTCGAAATCCCTTCATGTGCTTTGTGCTGAAAATGGTATTCACTTTCAATTTCCTTCTGATTTTTTATGCAAATATTACATGTGAGACCTCTTTTGCTTGCACATCCTCATTGAGTTGTGGTTTATAAATGTAGTATAGCCCTTGCCTTTTTTGTTTTGTTTTTTTTTTATCACTTCTTGAGTTTTTTTTTTCCTCCTTTCCTTTTAATTTTCTGTTGTTTGTATATAATTATGATATTTCTTTATGGGTGGTGATTTTGTTGAAAACCTACTTTGTGATGTTGTTATATATGCTTAAGATCATGAACTAATGAGCTATGGCTTTCATTTCACTAAAATGATGTGTGGTAAAAGAAAATTGTTAAATGGTTTACTAATTTTTTTTTTGTTATGGTAACTTGTGTTACAAAGTTGTTTTTCTTCCACTATTTTCTCTTTTTCTTTGTTTCTTTTTTGAGTCTACGAAAATAAAACATGGAAGACATTTTTGCATGTACATTTCTATCTGATAGTGGGGTGTGAAAATGCAATATAGCTCCTTTTACTTTAGTTGTTGATTGTTTCAAAAACTATCTAACTTTGTTTTTATAATTCTTTAAGGCACATGATGGAGGAGTCGTGGCTATCGAGCTTTCCAGAGTGAGTGGAGGCGCACCGCAACTTATTACAATTGGTGCAGATAAGACTTTAGCTATCTGGGACACAATCTCGTTTAAGGTGCCTTGCTAACTGGATGAAATTCTGAATTTAGCTTTTGAAGAACACTACTAATGATCCATTTATTGTGGTTAACATTTGTGTTTTTCCTCAGGAGTTGCGTCGTATTAAACCTGTTCCAAAACTTGCTTGCCACAGTGTGGCATCATGGTGCCATCCTCGAGCTCCAAACCTTGATATATTAACTTGTGTCAAGGATTCCCATATATGGTGTGCATATTTTTTTCTTTATAGCAGCATAGCTTTTACTTTTATTTTTGGTTATTAAATTTTTTATGCCTTTAATGTATTGATGGAACAAGATATTTGCAGCCACTCCCCAACAGTTGAGTATTAAAGAAAATCTTGAGTCAAGGCCATTTGCCTTTTTTTTTTTCTCTTCAATGGGAATTGTGATTTTGGTTTAAATCTTTTGGCAGGGCTATTGAGCACCCCACTTATTCAGCTCTCACAAGGCCATTATGTGAACTTTCCTCACTAGTCCCTCCTCAAGTCCTTGCATCTCAGAAGAAACTTAGGGTAGGTAGCTAGCTGTGATTTTTTTGCTAATTTAGCTTTTTACTGGCAGTTTAATTTTTTATTTCACTATTTTGAATTAATAAAAGCTTTAATCAGTAATTCTTATGAATTATAAGACAAAGCTTTGATGCTTGACACGTGTTGCTTAAAAGCATATATATTTAGTACTTTTAAATCTCATGCTATATGTGATTTTTTAACCTTACCACCTATTTCTCTTTTACTTCTATTGCACTATTTTTGGTTTGGCTTGTACCTTAAATAGAAGGGAGTAGTGAACTTGATTTTAGTGATGGAAGGGTTTCCTCAAACTTAGTGGATTTTTTAGGGGATTTTGGCAGTTGTATCTCTATGGATGCAACTCCTCAACGATAATGTGTAATCTTCCTGCTTGCAGTGCTAGGGGTTTGAATACTAGCATAAGCGGTCTCCTAGAGTCATCATTATGAAATGGAATTTAGTTATTTCTTTTTGCGGAAAGCAAGGCCAAGAGGATGTAGTGTTCTTGTTGAAGTCGTTTGAAGAAGGTTGCTTTGTGACTAGGTTTTCCTCTCCTTAAAACTGCTTTTGGGATATCCTGTAGCTATGGGTTATAACTTATAAGTTGTTTCACAAAGACATTCTAAAGTGATCACCTTGATGAATGTTCTATCAAAATTTCATTGCTGAACCATTTTGCATGATTTCAAGGGTTTATATGCCTAACTAGGACATCGAGAGAGATCATTGTCAGGGCTTGATTGAAGAATATCCCCCAAATTTTTCAGTGGTCTTTTTTTTTCCTTGGTTAATAGAAGTATATTTATATTTGACTAACCAAATAGCCCTTGATAAAGCCGAATGGAGAAGAAGGATTCATGTAACTGATCCCATTTGATGGGATTTAAGGCTTGGTTTGGTTTGGTTCAGTAGAAGTACATTTATATTTAGTAAAAGGAGAGCAGGTGAGATTCTGGAGTCATGTGGTGTGGAGTGGAAAACTTGGAATTGCCTTATTCAATTATTGCTTGCATCGCAATAAATAAAGAGGCAACTAGTAGTGTATATCTCAAGGTAGATGGCAATACTATCTTTTGGGATGTTGGCCTTGATAGAGATTTGAATGATTGGGAGGTAGGGGAGATGTTGGATTTTCTTTGGCATTTTTAAGCTATTCTTGCATTGGTGATGGAAGGGATGCTATTAGATGAGGTTGAAAACCTAATGTTTTGAGGTAAGTCCTTTTATGAGGTTTTGGTAGGTCATAGAAGGAGGCTCTTTCCTTGGATAGGGGTGTGGGGAACCAATGCTCCTAAGATTGCCTTTCTTGTGTGGACTGTAGCACATGGGAATATTTTGATTATTGATAATTTGATTAGAGGGAAGCAAATCCATGTTAATTGGTGTTGTGTGTGCAAGTGTGATTGGGAGTTGCTGAGTCATCTCCTCATTTATTGCGAGGTGGCACGAGATTTGTGGTCTTTCATCGTTGTCATGTTTTGGTTCGAGTCTGTAGAAAGAGGAGGAAGGCATGGTGTTTGGTGCCTTTGGCATTGATGCAGATTGTGCAGGGAGAATGTAATAGAAGAACTTTTGATGAGGGAGAGAGGAGTCTTATCTTCAGATTAAACAATAGAGTATTATCCTTTTTGTATAGTTAGTTTTTGGGTGCGGTTAACTCATCCTTGAACCACTTTTTGGACTTTGTAGAGATCTTTGAGTAGGTTTTGATGTATAGTTGTTATATGTCTTCTTTTGGTATATGGGTTGCACTCATAAAATTTAACTAAGCAAAGAGTCATTAAAACTCGACAAGGAGAGAGGAAACTGGTGTATATGCATTGGACGAGAACCTTAGTAGTCTTTTCTACTCATGAAAGTAAAGTTTATTGAAGATAAGACTCTTGGGATCTTTATCTAACGGTATGTTCTAATGAGATTTGTATGGTGGCTCCTTACACTTGGTAATAAAGAGAAACCTGGGTCGATCTAAGTCAAAGCCTTCTATTGTCTTTGTTGAACCAGGTCAAAGTACATATAGGTTACGGGATTGATGGTGGCCTGGATGTTTGATGCTGAGATGCCCCAATCCATCTTGTGTTGCTGCCATATTGATAGAGAAGAGGACGATCCAAGCCTACATTGAGCTCTAGATCTGTTTGAAGATTGAAGCCCTGGATAGAAAAGATGAAGATCAAAGCCCCAAATTGAGAGAGATAAGAATTAGATGGAGCAATGGACTGTCACCATGTCTTTAAAAGAAAGAAACCATCTATAAGGCATGAGAACCATGCAAATTACTGGACCACTTCAATAGTTGGCATGATTAAAAAGTTGAGTCAAAGTCGAACACCAATACAAAAAGACAACTATTCCCTTGTTTCATCTTCTTCCTCATTTGAAAACTGTAACCTAAAAGCCCTAACCCACCACCAACCCTGCCTTCACACCGCCTGCCCCCTCCATCACCTCCTCACCTACCCTATCTCCCTTCCATGCCACTTACACCATCCCACCCCCACCAACACTGCCTCCCTTTCTTCCTTCCCCAACCACCATCGCCACCCAATATCCTCTTCCCCATCAACACCGATAAGCATCACCACCCAATCTCCCCTCTCCAACCAACACACCTCCCCCTTTTCCTTTCCTAATCACCATCACCACCCAATCTTCTCTCTCTCCCACCAACACTGCTTGCTTCACTTCCTTCCCCCAACCACTACTGCCATCCAATCTCTCCTCCCACGCAATCCCAATCACTACTTCTAGAACCAAGCAACACGACATGAATGTGCTGGCATGACTATTTTTTAAAAATGCCAAACACAATATTGTAGGGGACACGTACAAGTATATAGTTATATTTATATCATATATATGAATATATCTTTCAAAAACAATAAAAAAAAATTCAACAAAACACTAATTATTTAAAATTTACATTGTTTTTCTTTTATCATCGATTCTAAGTTATTTTGTTCAAACTTATAATTAGTTTCATGTGTCTAAGTGATGGACATGTGTCAGCCAAGTGTCTAAAGCGTGTCCGTGTCTGAAAAAATATTAAAAAAGACATGTTTGGATGGGTGTCCGACACAACCGTCCCCACCCTAAAATTGTCCTTGCTACTTAGCCTGGGTTGACATCCAATTTGCATTTCAATACTTTGTGCTCTATGCATGACTGTGTTGCAGTCATATATGCATTATCCCTGTTCCAGCATCCTGTTTGGGTATTATATATATAATGTGTATATATGGGTTGAAGATTGAGTTAAAAAATTGTTAATATATGATTTAATTATGATATGTGGTTTAAATTGTTCAGGATGTGGTTTAACTTGACTAACAAGTGGTTTAAATTACAAATTATATGCAACAGAAGAGAGAAAAGGAGGGGGGGGGGGGGGGGAGAGAGAGAGAGAGAGAGAGAGAGAGAGAGAGAGAGAAAAGAAAACAAGGAAGGTATTAAGGCATTCTACAAATTTTGTTAACGGAATTAGCATTGCATTTTAGTCCAAAACCATAGAGGGTAGATTTATAGAGTGCAGAGATTTTAATGAAAGAAAGAGAAGAAGAATCCTGGAGTCTCTCATAGAATTTCTTAGCCCTCATTTTTACAACAATCAAGCTATATTATACGAACACGATATGAAGTTCCTAAAACTCAGCTGTTATTGAATAGAAAGATTACATGGATAGTGAAGTATATGCTGCTGTGTTTTCCTACAACAAGGAATAAGACTTCAAACTCATAATTGAAGGACTCATTTGCTACAAGCAATATTCTAGAAAATCTTGGCTAAATGAAGATAATTTATAAGGACCTAATTACATATTGGCCCAAACAAGGGCTATGAGCCCATATTACAACCCATGTCCTGCAGATCTTGAAATTTCCTAAATACCCGACTTCAAAATAACATAGATATTACTAGCTTAAAGTTAATATAAATAAAGACTCGAAACACTACTGTCAATGCTGAACGGTGGATCAAAGCCTTCTTGATTGCGGCTGGCAGGTATCCAAGTGTTCAGCCATTTGATTGGTTCAACATCAATTGGTTACATTTTACAACTGGAAGTTTCCTGACTTGTTTGATCAGAATGATCCGATTTTCAGAGCTTACAGTTTGGTTAAAGTATTCATATAGTTAGATGATGATTCTATCCTACTTCTACATGCACTTGGACAATGCTAGAGATGCTTTAGAGGTCCTAAATGCTTTGAAGAGTATTGTTACTTCTTTGGCTCAACTAATTGGAGAAATCAGTTGATTCTTTTTGGGGGGAAATTCTATGTTTTAAACACGTTAGACAGAAATGCGAAGAATCCCATTGCTTGTTAAAGAAGCTGCAATGATTGTCTTGCCCCAACCTTATACCTTGATCCTTGTTTGCGAACTTGGTTACTCACAAATGAATTTTTCAACCACTCCGGTATTTGGTAATACAATAGGGGCAAAAGAAGCACTTCTGATTGCAGGTATGTGATTTTTTAACTGGAGATGACAAAAATCATATTTATCGAGAAATGGTGAAGTTTCTTTGATGTAACTGGCTGTATAATTTTGTCAAACAGGAAATCTATGTGAGTTAAGAAAGGTTGTCAAATTTCATTTGAATATATTAATTTTGACACTCGAGTTGCTGTTGTAGGTTTTTTGTATGGTTGCACATCCTTTACAGCCACACCTTGTTGCTACCGGATCCAATGTTGGCATTATTGTTAGTGAGTTTGATCCCAAGTCTCTTCCAGCTTTGGCTCCCCTACCAACACCGCCAGGAAGCCGGGAGCATTCTGCTGTGTATGTGGTTGAAAGGGAACTAAAGTTGCTGCAGTTTCAGTTGTCTAACACAGCAAATCCATCCCTTGGAAGCAATGGCTCCTTGGCGGAAACAGGAAGGTTCAAGGGAGACTCATTCGAACAACTGCATGTCAAGCAGATCAAAAAGCACATTAGTACACCTGTTCCGCATGATTCATACTCAGTTCTTTCAGTGAGCAGCTCAGGAAAGTAAGTTGCTTCTGATGTTACAATATCTTGAATGATACATATAGCACCCTCCTTTTGATGTATTTTTGGTACATGTTTAGTAAAACTTAATGGCAGCTTAAAAAAAGCATCCCAAACCTAGCCTAAAGAAAGTTGGCCTTTTGAGCTTATTTTGAGCTGAAAAATCAATACCAAACAACATACATTGCCTAAGTACAACAGCCTGCAACACACATTTTCAAAACTTAAGCTAAAAAAAAGCTGCTTGTAAGTTTTATTAAACAGGAATATATGTTGGATCAAGCTGTTAAATATTTACATTGGGATCTTTGTGAACTCATGTTGATTGGTTATAAATCATATTGTTATTGTGAGTTTAAGTCCTATAATCTCATACAAAACTCAAAGAAGCCTTTCATTAATATAGCTGTTTCCCGCACTATGTCTTTTCATTGCAGGTATCTCGCAATTGTTTGGCCTGATATTCCTTATTTCGCAATCTATAAGGTCAGTGACTGGTCTGTTGTTGATTCAGGCAGTGCAAGACATTTGGCTTGGGATACGTGTCGTGATAGATTTTCTTTACTGGAATCTGCATTACCTCCTAGAATTCCCATAATACCCAAGATGGGTTCATCAAAAAAAGCAAGGGAAGCTGCTGCAGCAGCTGCAGCACAAGTTGCCGCAGCAGCTGCAACTGCTGCTGCTTCAGCCAGCGTTCAAGTTCGTATCTTGCTGGATGATGGGACATCAAATATATTAATGAGGTCTGTAGGTAGTCGCACTGACCCAGTTATTGGTTTGCATGGGGGGGCACTTCTTGGTGTTGTCTACCGAACATCACGAAGGGTCAGCCCTGTTGCTGCAACAGCTATTTCAACTATTCAATCGATGCCATTGTCAGGCTTTGGAACCAGTGGTCTTTCTTCTTTCGCCACTATGGATGATGGACTTTCTTCTCAAGGGTCTCCTACTGAAGCAGCACCTCAGAACTTTCAGCTATATAGTTGGGAAACTTTTCAACCTGTGGGTGGTCTTCTCCCTCAACCTGAATGGACTGCATGGGACCAAACTGTTGAGTATTGTGCTTTTGCGTATCAGCAATACATTGTCATATCTTCCTTGCGCCCTCAGTATAGGTACCTAGGAGATGTGGCAATTCCCCACGCAACTGGAGCTGTGTGGCATCGAAGACAGCTTTTTGTTGCTACACCAACTACCATTGAGTGTGTTTTTGTGGATGCTGGAGTTGCACCTATTGATATAGAAACAAAAAAGAGAAAAGAAGAGATGAAACTGAGAGAGGCACAGGCAAGAGCTGTTTCAGAGCATGGGGAGTTAGCACTAATCGCAGTTGACGGTCTGCAAACAGCCACTCAAGAAAGGATAGCATTGAGACCCCCAATGCTACAGGTGGTGCGATTAGCTTCTTTTCAGTATGCTCCTTCTGTGCCGCCTTTTTTATCATTGCCTAAACAATCTAAAGTTGGTGGTGACGAGTCAGCGATGCTAAAAGAGACGGAAGAAAGAAGAGTTAATGAGGTAGCTGTTGGTGGTGGTGGGGTATCAGTGGCAGTTACTCGTTTTCCAGCTGAGCAAAAAAGACCTGTTGGACCTCTCATTGTAGTGGGTGTTAGAGATGGTGTTCTGTGGCTAATTGATAGGTACATGTGTGCTCATGCAATATCCCTTAGCCATCCTGGTATTCGTTGTCGGTGTCTTGCTGCATATGGAGATGCTGTTAGTGCAGTAAAATGGGCAAGTAGGCTTGGTAGAGAACATCACGATGATTTAGCACAGTTTATGCTCGGGATGGGTTATGCGACTGAAGCACTTCATTTGCCTGGAATATCAAAGAGGCTGGAGTTTGATCTCGCCATGCAGAGCAATGATTTGAAAAGAGCGCTTCAGTGTCTTCTAACAATGAGCAACAGCAGGGATATAGGGCAAGAAACTGTGGGGCTAGACTTAAATGACATTCTCAGTTTGACAGATAAGAAGGAAAATATTGTGGATGCTGTCCAAGGAGTAGTGAAATTTGCGAATGAGTTTTTGGAACTTATTGATGCTGCAGATGCTACTGCACAAGGTGAAATTGCTCGTGAAGCTATTAAGAGGTTAGCTGCTGCAGGTTCTGTGAAGGGAGCGTTAAGGGGTCAAGAGTTAAGAGGACTAGCTTTACGCCTTGCAAATCATGGAGAGTTGACGCGGCTTAGTGTAAGTACATTTTTTATTATGCTTCTGTTGCAAACTTTTGGCTTTCTGTGATGTATGCTATGAAATATTGACACCTATAATTTGCATGCAACCAATCTGTTTCATTAACTGAATAATGCAAGTAGGAATATGTTGTATGAATGCATAAATTATGATAATTAAATCTGAATACTGTCATCTACCTTGCATGGAATCTTCTCTAGTTTATTTACTCATGTATGTAGTTATTTATTAATTTAATATCATCTTGTAGTGTCCTTGAGGAGATAATGTCGAGGGTTGGACAAGAAATGAGTACCAATTAGATATATTGAAGTGATCGAGGACATGTATGATTTTGTCATGCTTAGTGTGATAGCCATGCAGAGACAGGTTAATATCCTAAATAGGTGTACAATAAGGATTGGCATTGAGCTTGTTATCTTTTTTCTCTTTTCTATATATGAATGGACTTACTAGCATATCAAAGAGGATGTCAGATGGTGTATTTATTCACTGATGGCATAGTTTTATTGTGTAAACTAGAGAAAAGGGGTTGATTTATGCATTAGAACCATATAGAAATACTTAAGAATCTAAATGTTTTGAGACTAAGACCTCGTTTGGGAACAGGTTTTTTTAGTAATTTTTTGGCTTTTTGGCTAAAATATAACGTAAAAAAAACTAATATGTTTGGGATGACTTTTTGGTTTTTCACAAAAAGATGTGCAAAATGTAAAGAGAAAAGGGAATCTTTGACTTTTTTGGTATAGATTGTTGGCTTTTTGTTTTTTTTAGTGACTTTTTGATTTTTTGGCTAAAATCAGTACTTGTCAAACGAGGCCTAAGTATTAAAAAGACAATATGAATTGTAAGTTTTGTAAAATCAAAAGTAGGACTGAAGGTACAATAAGCCTCAATGGACAAGAAATACCTAAAAGTGATAATTTTTTATGAGGAACCATTCTAAGCTAGGGGAAATTGAAGAGAACATTGTCTATGGACTTAATAGCATGGTGGATGGAATGGAAGAGTGCTTTGGAGAGTAATGTAAAAGTAGAATGCTGGACAAACCAAAGGGAAAGTTCCCAAGGAAGTTGTGGAACATGTTAAAAAATATGGAGTAGCTACTATCCAGAAAAAAGAGCTTCATGGTAAATTGAGGATATGGAGATGGATGAATAGTGTAGGAAAAGACAGAAAAGGAAAGATTGAATTCATGGTAGAAGTGACCTGGCAAAGGATAAAGGAAAGTTGTTTGAAATGGTTTGGCCATGAGAAAAGATAAAAGTTTTTTGTACATGGTGCGCATGTGCCCATGAATGTTATATAGATATATTGAAATGTATGGGCACATGCGGATGTGTAGATATGCATACATATACACGTGTGTATGCCGGCACACAATTCAATGGCATTTAACATAGAGCAATCCATAAAGAACTAGGTTGCAAATGTCAATCATGAACAACTTTATACTGAGGATATCAAATTTTGCTTCAAGTTCTGTTTTCTCTCATCTAATTGTCTTTTAAAAAGAAATTATGCCCAGTCTTGTATTTAGAATCTTGAAATTTCTGTTTGCTTTTTTCAGTTTTATTTTGGTTACATATCCTAATTACGCTGGCATGCCCCCATATCCTTTTTAAGTGTACATGTGTTTCATATATGCTTATATTGCAACACTAATATGAACATAAATATTACAACACTAATATGAACATAAATATTGCAACACTAATATGAACATAAATATTGCAACGCTAATATGAACATAAATATGTCAATTTTTTTGAGTTTGAACATGTGGATTGGCTTCAAGGAAAAAAGAAAGGAAAAGAAAAGAAAAAAAAGAATAGACTTTGAACCAATAAGACCATCCTCTTTATTGATTGGCTGAATCACTGAAATTTTCTTTTATTTTTTATTTTTATAGATTATTGATAAGATCAAAGGGACAATAATAGCTTCTTGAAACCATCCCCAGGTTACCAATTGCTTTCTAACAAGGCAGTGCCTTGCGATTACAGAAACCAATTTGCAACCTTAAATATATGCAAAACGTAGTGCTTGTACTCAAACTGTACTGTTCTTCCTTGATGGAAGGAAATTGCTAATTCATAGGATATTGTTGTTAAAACCATGGTCTAGGCACAGTTTGTTGTGTTACATGTGTAGGTTTTAAAATGGTTCCATTGTCTTTTGGTTTGCATAATATGTTACATGGACTTGGGTACGGGTGTCGGGTGCGGGTGTGTATCTAGAGGTTGGGCTCATCAAATCGCAAATTTGAGTACGCAGACTCGGCAAAAAAGTATCATATTTTTAATTTATTATATGAGATAAAATAATACTATATGTAACATACAACGCCAAAAAGGTGTTTTATAGAAAATACACAACAAATGATACATGTAAGATAGTGCTAAATACAAATATATGAGAAGTGTCCAATGGAAAATATCGGACACATATCCCACACCTTTCTCTGAGTGTCTGGGGTCCGACACGGGTATTTGATTTATTTTGAAGAATGCATGTAACATATTTGCATTCAATGATAAAAATCAAACATTTGAATGTGGACATTTTGAGAGAATATGAGCAGTCACCATGATCTAAGATCTGGGTTCTTTTTTAGGTAATGACCCCTTCAATTGCTAAAATGAAGTGATTGCCTTGAAAAAAAAGAAAGAAAGAACCTAACATGGAGCAATTTAATCTCCATGCATGTCTCGTAGCTCATGAGTAAACTCTTGGCTTCATCATTGCGTGAATCTTTTGATTATGTTCACTGGTTTTTATGGTCCACTCAGTTCTATTTTCATAGCAAGTACATGATAGGATTTCTTGATTTTCAGAATCTTACAGTTATAGGTCTGAAATGATCAATGCCTTGAATTTGTTGCTTAAAATTACATGTATAAATATGTCTTGTTCATGGGTTCCTTTTCTCTGCTTAATGACTTGTGATCGCTAAATGTATTTGTTGCAGAATTTGGTAAATAACATGATCTCAGTTGGCTCGGGTCGAGAAGCGGCATTTGCAGCTGCAGTTTTGGGGGACAATACTCTCATGGAGAAAGCATGGCAGGAGACTGGGATGCTTGCAGAGGCTGTCCTTCATGCCCATGTATGTAATAAGCTTATCCCCACAATAGTATCTTTAATTGAAGGGCTGCCCGACATGGCTAGTTTGTTGTTTGGTTCAAATTTTATTTGTTTATTTTTGTCCAGTATTAAAAGCCTGGGATTGCTAATCCCCCATATGGGGGTATTAAATGGGTTATAACTAATTCCACATTCCCATGGTATTACTTATTCTGGGGCGTGGGATTATCTCCTCCATTCATCCAATGGTAAAAATAATCCTTCTTCCTTATCCCGCCTTTGTCCCACCTAAACATAATACAACTAATCCTATTGTATACATAATCTCTGTTGCAGCTTATATGAGCTGTTTACAGCTTTTTTTGGAGTCTGCTAAACTGTTTGATGTAACTTCTACTTATAGTGTATTAGGTAGAAATAAAATAAATTGAAAAAAACAGATTATATGGAAGTTGAGGGAGGGGTGCTGTTGTCTTCCAGCTTACAAAAAGCTGCACCAAACAGGCCCATCCCATGATATTACTTATTCCCTCTAATCTTTAGCCAAAATTCCATGGTATCTGGAAATCAAACGTGGCCTAAATTCAGTACTTAAATCTAACCAACCTCATTTTCTCCAGGCGCATGGACGACCAACATTGAGGAACTTGGTTCAAGCTTGGAACAAAATGTTACAAAAGGAGATGGAGCACACTCCATCAACGAAAACAGATGCTGCAGCTGCATTTCTGGCTTCCCTCGAGGGACCCAAGCTCACAAGTTTGGCAGATGCGGCGAAGAAACTACCCATTGAAATCCTTCCTCCAGGAATGGCATCTCTATATGCTCCCAATCCTGGTCCTAAAAAACCCGGTTCCGCCGCACAGGGCCAGCAACCAGGCAAGCCAATGCTATTAGAAGCACCTCCCTCAGACGCAGCCGCAGCCGCAGCCGCAGCCGCAGCCGCAGACGCAGACGCAGACACAGCTGCAGCCTCAGACACAGCCACCAGTGCTCCACCACCATCAGAACCAAGTGGGCCACCTCCATCGGAATCAAGTGCTCCACCTTCCTCAGATTCGAGTGCTTCAGTTCCCTCAGAATCCGGTGCTCCACCTCCCTCAGAATCGAGTGCTCCTGCTGCTTCAGAGTTGAGTGCACCAACTACGGACGATCAAACTCCTTCCTCCTCAGTGGGTGTTATGGATCTAATTGTACCAGCAGCAACTACCAGTAGTCAAGCCATGCCAGAGGCTCCCAACCCCGCTCCAGATATTCAAGGAACGAATGGTCCTGCTACAGCACCAATGATCGACTTTTCTTGATAAGCAAGACCTTAATAATCCATTGCCTGTGTCACAAGGTGGCCTCATTGCAGTGTCTTGATTCTTAGGAAGGTGAGGCAAGAATTTGCTTGTGCTTGAGGTAACTTACAGTCATGTCCACATTGCAGAGCATCTTTACCATTGATGTTACTATGCTACTTTTCTCCAATACAGCTTGTTCAATAGTATTAATTTTTATTTTTTATTTTTTGCTGTGAAAATGAATATTTCTTTTCTTTTGTTCCCTTCCCCTTTTTTTCTTTTTTCTTTTCAGATTCCCTACTGAGTGCTGAACAATCGCAGTCTGTAACATGTCTAGTTATGGAATCTGTTGTCCTTTTTTTAATCATTGTATTTCTATGTTGACAGCAGTTTTGCTTGTGTAAATCAGTTGAGGTTTTGGTTGTCCTCTTGGTCTCAATGTTAAACATCGTATTCTGCAAAAGAAATTCATACTCAAAACAGAGCTTTTGTGTTTCAACTACTCATTTTGCCTAGCAACTTTAAAGTAGGGTTTTTCCCAAATAGAATCAGGTTTTACCTTCTAGGGTTTGGCTTCTCATCTTGATTTGAGAGAGATTCTTGCAATTTTACCATTATCACTTGGTAAATTACTTGGACTATGGAACAGCCCATCTTGGTCATTGCATTCGTTTCAATGATTTGTTCAACAATGAGGTTGAATTCTTGAAGAGTGTTTGTGTTTGCTTTTGTTGAAAGAAGTTGGGAGTGGTTTTCAAATATGGAGGCTGAACTTGGTGCTATATAAAAGGAAGGGGTTGCTGTTAGCTCTTCATAGGAGGGGTATTATCGACAATCGTTTGTAGAAACTGACTCTTTGATGGTTTTTTCATGGGAGCTTCTATTTACCCACACCAAATCCACTCTATACACACACTTAATGAAGAGGATGTGCAAAAAGTGTAGTGAGGAGGATGTGCAAAAAGTGTATATTGTGTGGGCAATAGAAGCTTCCTTTTTTCATGGTTTGTGCAGGACAATTTAGGAGGTTTGTGTAAATGTCAAAAATATCAGGGAAGGTATTGTAATTTTCCTAAAAAAGAAATCTTTAGGGTAATGCTTCATTTCTACACCTATTTTAGATAATTATACTATTGCTCCCTCTAGGCAAAACTTCACGTTGTTTTCCGTAATTTTTATTTCATATTCAAATCTTATACTTGCAATTTTGTTATAATATGGTGTTTTTGTTATGCTATTATTAGCACTTTTATTTTTTGGATCCCCTCAATTTATTTATTTATTTTTTATTGCAATTTTGTTATAATATGGTGTTTTTGTTATGCTATAATTAGCACTTACTTTATTTTTTGGATCCCCTCAATTTATTTATTTATTACAATTATAATCTAAAGTACAATTACAGTAAAGGATAACTTTTAATGGAACACTCATCCACCAAATGAAGACAATTAGAATCATATTCTACAACATTGTACACCTATCTCCCCCCCCAACCAAACCATTTGACAGAGACCATTCACCAACCTAAATCCTAAATGGTATTCATCTTCTCATCACCATTCTAAATCAGAAATCATTGTCACTGTGGACCGAAGTCGTTTTTTCAAATCATTTTCACCATTCATTGATATAAGAAATCAATAGTTTAGATAAGTTCAACAATGGAGGACGATGACAACAATTCAAACGAATGTTGGCTTTGCATTAGTAAGTTTATCTATCTTCTCGATCCTTGAATTAATGATTCTTTGTTGTTTTCGATTGTTGATTTGTTGTTTGAGGTTGTTCGGTACTAGTTTGTTGCCTGTTAAGGTTTTGTTCGGTAACACAGTCTGAATAAAAACATTAGTTTGGAAGGTGGATTCTGAACAATAATGTTTTGTTCAGCACTGATATGCCGAACAGTTTCTGTTTGTAGGGTTTTTCCCTTGATATGTTGGAGAATAGATTTTTGATGACTTTACTCCTCAATTCCATACAAGTATGAAGAAGAGATGCAATGGTATAAAATCGAAGAACCATCGTTCACCGTCGTTCAGTTTTAGACAAGATACAATGGTGTTCTCATTGTTAATGCATTCATGGTTTCAAATAAATCAAAAAGAAAGAGAGATCATCATTTTTCAAGTTGTTGGAGAAGAGGGATTGTCGTTCGTCGTTCACTCATGGAGAAGGTGTGCAAATAAGGTGGGTGTGCATAACTTGGGTGATGATATTATGAATATGGGTAAATTTAGTATTAAATGGTTGTTAAAAGAAATATTGTTAAAATTTAGAGTTTAGGGTGGGGGTTCAAAGAATTAGGGGGTCTAAAGAATAAATGTAGATGCTACTAGCAGCTCTCCTTGCCATTAACATTTTGGACTGAAAACAACATCAAGATGAAATTTGTATGAATTATGGGGATCACTAGTGTAATTATTCAATTTTCTTTCTCATGTGGGAATTGCTAAAATTCTCATGCCCAAATTGAAATGCAAGTGAAAGTGCAATGCTTGAATTGACAAAATTGAAACTATGGGGATTAAAGCAAAATTTCGTTCAAACTAAAGAGACCAATGATATATTTTACCTTTTACTTTATCTACATTTACTTACAAAATTAAAATTTAATTTCATCTCTATCTACCTGGGCTATAAAATGAGTGAAACTACTTGAGTTTGATTCATATTCGACTTGTCAAAAACTCATTATATAATCAATTCAAGCTTGAACACTATTTGAAATTCATTAATTTTTTGAGTTAAACTAAAACTTGGCTTGATATGTTTATATAACTATAAAACTATGTAAAAAAAACTAAGTTACTTAGGCTCCATTTGTGATCTAGCAGATTAAAATTCGTTTAAAATTGACTTGAAATATAATCAAATTAAACTTGAATAATCTACTATTCAATTCAGCTTAACTCATTGATAGCTATGGCTACACCCCAAATATGCTGAACCTCCTTATACTTAGCACTATACTTCTCTCCATACTGACCTCTCTCTCTCTCTCTCTCTCTCTCTCTCTCTCTCATTCTCCCTATTTCCCTCTCCTCTCTTTTTCTCTTACATATGAAGGGTGGCAATCGCGGTGGTTCAGGAGGAAGGAAGGGGCTGCGGGTAGTATAGAATTGGCAAGATGAGGGGAATGTTGGTGTGGTTGCGTGCGAGGGCATGTAGGAACTAGGGGTGGGGAAGCAAGGTATAGAAAGTAGGGTGTAATTTGGGTGGGTTGAGAGGTTTTTCATGTCCAATCCAAATCGTTGCTAAGAGTTGCGCAAGCCCACCCCAACCCTACTTACAATCCAAGGTTTTGTTATTAAATTAGGTTATGATCATTCAATCTTTTTATCAAAATTAATTTAGGAATTTAACAATTAAATTAGTTTAATTTCACAATAGTCCCTGTGGATCGATACCTGGACTTGCCATTATTCTGAGAGAATTTGGTATAGTTTAGTATTTAATTTTGGTGTGTTCAACGACCCATCAGTATGTGCATAGCTAGATTGATTAATTTGTTGAAATTTAACTTTATTATTATTTTTTTGAAAATCATTAATAATATCAAAATAAATAATTTGTATAATGTGAGAGTGATGGAGAGGAGAGAGATAAGAATTGAAGAATCGATGTGCCGTTAAGATGGCTTTTGCAATTTGTGAGTAAGAAAATAAAAGGATAAAGTTTTGTGTTGTGTTAGTTGTCGTGACAGAGCCAAATATTCTACTTAGGGAAGCACTCATTAATCACAATTAGGGATGTGCAAAGTACCGTCCAATTCGCTAAAACTGTACCAATCCATACTGTTCTATCTACTAACCGCAAATTAAACTTTGAAATTTATAATCTGCTTTCGAAACCACTCTGCAATATCAAAGTAAAATTGAGTGGGAGAGAGATTTAAGATGTAAAATTTGTTATAAATTAGTAGTTATAAATATATATATATATATATGAAAAATATTATGCAGATTAGTATTATATATTATGCAAATACTTGATAATTGGTTAAAAATATTCTTCAATCAACTAACAAATTGAAATCGCCCCAAACCATGATTTTGTTATTTGCCAATCCGTCATTTGTTTTATAATTTTACTCTTAAATTGTCCGAACCGCACCGTGCACACTCCTAATCACAAATTGATTTTTTTTCCCCCCTCATAGCAAGTAACAACAAGATACTATTAAAGTTACACAATTGCTTTTAATTTTCTGTCAATCGGTGAGATACATATTACAATTATCATGAGATTTACATTAATATGACTTATAAATTCACAATCAGTAACAAGATTTTTTTAACCCTAACAATAGGGATAAACAAACAACTGAATCTACAATCAACAAAGAGCCGTACAATGGCAAGAAATAACTAACTAAACAAATCTTATAATCAACAAAGAGCCTGTAACAACCCCGACCCGTGATTAACTATTAATCCATGATTAAATATGCCTAATAAGTAATTAAGATAAAATCATGTGTTAATTACATGAACTATATGGTATTTGCATTTATATTTGTCTGTTGTAGGAATGTCTGTTTGTGTTTCTGTTTTCTTCTGCGAATTGAAGGCCTTATCGGCATCCGATCGCAAAATTGACTACGGTTATGTGTTATTTAGAATTTTTAGAATTTTATGGTAGGTTGAATTAAAATCCGATTCAAAACGAATTAAATTGGAATAATTAATGTCAATTTGATTAACCTAAGTTAAGTTTAATTAAGCCTCCTTAATTGAGCCTATATAAGGCTAATTTGACTCCATTAGTTCATTTTGCACCTTCATTCCATACTCTTTAAGCTCAAAAACGTGGGAGAGAGAGAGAGAGAGAATGAAGAAAATTGAGATCAAAAGGTAGGGAATAGGGAATTACAAGGAATTGTTGAAGAATTTGGGAGTTTAAGCTTCTACACTTGTGAATTTAAGACTCTAGGTAAGAATCTTGTCCTTAAACTTTTCATTCTAGACATATGAGAAAGATTTCAAGAAATTAAGATGGCTTAACATAAGAAATGAGCTTAGATTGAGGAATTTGGGAAGAGTCATTGTATGCATGCATAATTCATGAAGTTTTGAGTTTGATTTCAAAGAATTTCCACGTGCATGTGTTCGTTTTGCCTTTGTTTTGAGAATTCATGAAGTTTCATACCAAATTACCTCAATAACTCATGTATTGAAAGCTTTGAAGCCAAGATAAATTCATACATGTTATGTTCTTGAATTCTGAGTTTGAGTTTACACAATTGACATACTTTTGGGTCTTGATTTTGCGAAATGGTTTCGAATTCATGAAGTTTGACAAGTTTATATAAGTTTTTGGCCCAAAAGATCATGAGTTGCAGCTTTGGAGTTGAGTTTTGAGCTGAAGAGCAATTTTGGAAATTCCATAATGGTGCTCCTTCGCTCGAGCGACAGAACCTGCGCTCGAGCGACCACCTTTATTTTTTCAACTCCACTCAAGCGACTAAAAGTTGGCTCGAGCGTAAATTGCATGCTCCTAGAAGTTTCCATGTTTTGTAGACCGCTCGAGCGACAAGAGTTGCGTTCAAATGAAGACCTCAGTCTCACACTTAAGCGACCGTCAAGCATTCGTCAAGCGAAAAAATCAAGCAATCAGTACTTTTGCAAAGTTTACAGACCATTCGAGCGAGCTCTCACATTTTTGAACGTTCGCTCGAGCGAAGGAAGTTGCGCTTAGGCGAGGCCTCTGTTTTCAGCATATTTGACTAAGTGTTTTCAAGTGGATTTATTATTCTCATTGCATCCTAGGCATACCTAGGCCAAGATTAAGACATAATAATGAGGATAAGACTTAAAAACACACGAAGAAAGAAATGAAATAAATTAAGTACAATCTGAGCATGTGTTTTAGTATGTGTATCTGTTATGTTTGTGTAGGTCACATGCCGTGAGCTGTTGATCCATTGGTTGCTATCAAGCTATCTATGCAACTATCACTGAGTAATAACTTAGTAAAGCTATGTTCGATATGAAGTACTTTCTGGACATTATGATGTGATATGAACTATTTCTAAATGGTACAAAAGGCTATTTTGTGATTCCATGAATAATGATCCATATCTTTGACACGTATTTGTGGTATCCTTAGCAGAGGCCCTCACCCATGGGACATAATATTGTGACTTATGGTCATGAGGCCCTCGCCCGGGGGGAAGAATACCGTGGCCAGGCCCTTGCTCGGGGGAAACAATACTGTGACCCATGTATGAGATATGTTACCCAGTACCGGAGGTTCCATTATGGAACTTAATGCTTGACCAAAGTGATATGTTAATGCTAAAGGAAATACCACACATGATTTGAATACGATTATGAACATGACTCTGTTTTTGATACGACCATGCTTATCTCTCTGATTGATATGATATGAAACTGGACATCATTCATTAATATATTTACTCTGTTATAATTCACTGATCTTTCGTTCACTATATATATTATGTATGTAGGTGACCAGGCGCGTGACCAGGCTCAGAGTTGATGACCTGGAGTCTCCGTTTTGTCAGCTAACCATTGTGCCTCTAGAAGAGGTTTTGGAAAGAGTTTAGTGGTTGAGTTTTGTGAACTTTTGTTGTTTTGTAAATAGTTATTTTGCCTTATTTTGTATTATGACGATAAAGAATAGATATGCAAATGACATCATACGTGGGTTTATGTATATCAGTTTGAAATGTTTTTGTCTTATGTATGTCTACACAGCTCTATGGACTATGTATGTTTCTATATTTGTTTCTGCTAGCCCTTATAGTTTGTTATTCAGGTCAGAGGACTTCGGTAATCCGAGGTTACTGGCCAGTTACGACACTAAACCTAAAGGGACGGGTTTGGGTTGTAACAGAGTGGTATCAGAGCACATGTTATACCGCACACACAAGTCCATAGGAGCTATAGGATGTCCTAGAAAAAAATTAGGGACATTTCATCTCCATGTGCAAGTGTGTGTGTGTTAATTCTGTAAATGTGAAAACTAAATCTGAACATGAACACATGAAATTGAAACAAATGAACTAGGATTGAATGTTCCAAACACTGTGAAAAGAATTATTTGCCTATGTTTATTATTGTTCTGTTAACCTATAGCGATGGAAAACGTAAGAAGTGATGATGCAGTGGGATCATTTGAGGCTTGAATGAGCCGAATGGAACAAATGCTCCCAACCCTAATTGAAGCAATGATACAGCAGCAAAGACAACAACCTCCTTTTGTTCTTACACTTTCATATCTACTCTTTGTGAGAGAATTATTGTAAAAGTGGGTTCAATTACCACTTATTCTTATTCCTTATTTTTGTGAGAGATTTTGTAAGGGTAAGGCATTTATTGTTGAGTGAGGCTCAATAGATAAGAGTAAGTCCTGTGCCAAATCCACAAGCTTGGTGGTGTATTTATTCAATTGATAGTAAAGAAATTCTCAAGGAGGTTCCTTGGGGAGTGGACGTAGGCCTGGCGTGCCGAACCACTATAAATCGCAGTGTTTGATTTTCTCTCTCTATCTCTTCTACTTTTATATTGATAATTATTATTCTTTTTTTTATTTATTAAAATTCTGAATATTGTGTTATTTTTAATATTGTGAAATTTTTAATAACCCAATTCACCCCCCCTCTTGGGTTGCCTATCTGGGATAACAGTATCTGTTATGTTTGTGTAGGTCACATGCCGTGAGCTGTTGATCCATTGGTTGCTATCCAGCTATCTATGCAACTATCACTGCGTAATAACTTAGTAAAGCTATGTTCGATATGAAGTACTTTCTGGACATTATGATGTGATATGAATTGTTTCTAAATGGTACAAAAGGCTATTTTGTGATTCCATGAATAATGATCCATATCTTTGACACGTATTTGTGGTATCCTTAACAGAGGCCCTCACCCATGGGACATAATATTGTGACTTATGGTCATGAGGCCCTCGCCCGGGGGGAAGAATACCGTGGCCAAGCCCTTGCTCGGGGGAAACAATAATGTGACCCATGTATGAGATATGTTACCCAGTACCGGAGGTTCCATTATGGAACTTAATGCTTGACCAAAGTGATATGTTAATACTAATGGAAATACCACACATGATTTGAATACGATTATGAACATGACTCTGTTTTTGATACGACCATGCTTATCTCTCTGATTGATATGATATGAAACTGGACATCATTCATTAATATATTTACTCTGTTATAATTCACTGATCTTTCGTTCACTATATATATTATGTATGTAGGTGACCAGGCGCGTGACCAGGCTCAGAGTTGATGACCTGGAGTCTCCGTTTTGTCAGCCAACCATTGTGCCTCCATAAGAGGTTTTGGAAAGAGTTTAGTGGTTTGAGTTTTGCAAACTTTTGTTGTTTTGTAAATAGTTATTTTGCCTTATTTTGTATTATGACGATAAAGAATAGATATGCAAATGACATCATACGTGGGTTTATGTATATCAGTTTGAAATGTTTTTGTCTTATGTATGTCTACACAGCTCTATGGACTATGTATGTTTCTATATTTGTTTCTGCTAGCCCTTATAGTTTGTTATTCAGGTCAGAGGACTTCGGTAATCCGAGGTTACTGGCCAGTTACGACACTAAACCTAAAGGGACGGGTTTGGGTTGTAACAGAGTGGTATCAGAGCACATGTTATACCGCACACACAAGTCCATAGGAGCTATAGGATGTCCTAGAAAAAAATTAGGGACATTTCATCTCCATGTGCAAGTGTGTGTGTGTTAATTCTGTAAATGTGAAAACTAAATCTGAACATGAACACATGAAATTGAAACGAATGAACTGGGATTGAATGTTCCAAACACTATGAAAAGAATTATTTGCCTATGTTTATTATTGTTCTGTTAACCTATAGCGATGGAAAACGCAAGAAGTGATGATGCAGTGGGATCATTTGAGGCTTGAATGAGCCGAATGGAACAAATGCTCCCAACCCTAATTGAAGCAATGATACAGCAGCAAAGACAACAACCTCCGCCTCCTCCGCCCTCTCTGGTCCAAGTTGAGCTAGATAAAAATGATATTATAAATTTAACTCAAAAGTTCATGAAGACGAAGCCTCCGGCTTTCTTAGGTGGTATTGAACCCTTAAAGGCAGAGACATGGTTACTCAAAATGAAGAAACTATTTGAAGTGTTTCCCTGCCCCGAGACTGTGAAAGTTCTATTGGCCACCTATACCCTAAAAGATGAAGCTCGAAGATAGTGTTTGTTAATCCGAACTAATAATGGGAACATGACATGGACTCAATTCAACGAGATCTTCTACGTCAAGTACTTTCCTCAGTACTTCCAGGACCGAAAGGTTTTTAAATTCCAAGAACTCAAGCAAGGCAACATTTCTATAGCCTAAATTCACAGAATTAGCTCGATTTGCTCCTCATATGGTGGATACGGACAGACTATAAGAAGGCTTGAAAATTTGAGGAGGTGATTAGATTTGGATATGTTTGATCGAGTAGGCGTCCTAAAGTTGCCTACATATGTGGAAGTCCTTAATAGAGCACTGATGGCAGAAGTTACTCTAGCAGCAAAGAAACAAGTTAAAGCTCTAACATCTGAATGGAGAGGGAAGAAACCCAACTTTAATTTCAAAAAGGATTGGTTGTTTTCAAAGAAACAAAACACGGGATCCTTCAGTAGCTCTAGTCAGAGTAGCGGATCTATTCCAAACTGCCCTGATTGTGGAAAGAAGCATAGAGGAGTGTGTTACCGTGCATCCAGAGCCTGTTACCGGTGTGGCAAAGTTGGCCATATGATGAAAGATTGTTCACTTGGGTCTGAAAATGCCAATCGCCCCACAACAAGTTCAGCCAGATCTGCTTTTGTGACAAGGTCAAATGCCGGAACTAATGTCAGAGGTAACACTGGAAATGAAGCATTAAAGCAAGGAAGAGTATTCACACTGGTCCCAGGGAATGTACAAGACACCGAGTTTGTGGTGTCAGGTATAATTCCCATACGCCATCTGGGGGTTCTATGGTATGTGTATATGTTTATCCAGCATGTGATATTGTGATCGATGATATGACGTTGTATGTTGATTTATTACCGTTGGGAATTGATCATTTTGACTGCGCATTGGGTATGGATTGGTTAACGAAGTATTGTGCAATTATTGCCTGTTTGCACAAATTTGTTATGTTTCGTCCACCTGGTTTGAATTTGTGTTTGCCAGGAATGGGGTAGTTCCTCTCCCATATTTGATTTTTGCCATGAAAGCTGTTAAACTGCTTAGGAAGGGGTGTAAAGGTTATATGTGTTGTGTTCTAACTGAGACTTCTGATAGGTCTAATGTGGAAACTATTCCTGTTGTTTGTGAATTTCCCGATGTGTTTCCGAAAGAATTACTTGGGGACTTAATTGATAGAGAAATTGAATGCACCATCAATGTAATACCTGGAACACAACCAATTTCTAAAACCCCATACCGGATGTCAACTTCTGAATTGAAAGAATTAAAAGCTCAGCTCCAAGAACTCTTAGACAAAAAATTCATCCGCCCGAGCACTTCACCATGGGGTGCTCCAGCTTTGTTTGTCAAGAAAAAAGACGGATCTTTAAGGCAGTGTATAGACTATCAGGAATTAAACAAAGTGACTATTAAGAATAAATATTCATGACCTCGAATAGATGACCTATTTGACCAACTCCAAAAAGCACAAGTGTTCTCCAAGATAGACCTTAGATTCGGGTATCACCAACTAAAAATTAAAGCAAAAGACATAGAGAAAACTACATTTAGAACTAGATACGGGCACTACGAATTTTTCGTAATGCCATTTGGGGAAACAAATACACCTGCAGCATTTATGGACCTAATGAATAGGGTTTTCAAACAATTCCTTAATGAATTCATCGTTGTGTTTATTGATGATATATTGATTTACTACAAAAGCAGGAATAACATGAAACTCATTTGAGAACTACTCTACAGACCTTGAGAGGGAAAAGTTGTATGCAAAACTTTCCAAATGTGAATTTTGGCTTGACAGCGTAGTATTTCTAGGACATGTGATCAACAAGGATGGTATATCAGTGGACCCACAGAAAATTGAAACCATTACAAACTGGCCAAGACTAACCAATGTGTCCGAAATCAGAAGTTTTCTGGGGCTTGCTAATTACTACCGCAGATTTGTGAGAGATTTCTCTAAGCTTACCATGCCATTGACATAGTTGACCAAGCAAAATGTACCGTTTGATTGGACTGATTAGCGGGAATCGGCCTTTCAAGAATTGAAAACTAGATTGGTAACTGCACCGATTCTGACATTGCTCAGCGGAACCGATGGGTTTCAGATTTATAGTAATACTTCCTATAAAGGCTTGAAGGGTGTGTTAATGCAGAATGGGAAGGTGATTGCCTACACTTCTCGGCAACTTTGCCATCAGGAAAAGAATTACCTGATTCATGACCTTGAACTAGCAGTTATGATTTTTGCATTAAAGATTTGGCGCCATTATCTGTATGGAGTGACTTGTGAGGTGTACATTGATCATAAAAGCTTGAAATGTTTCTTTACCCGAAAAGAACTGAACATGAGATAAAGAAGATGGCTGGAATCGATAAAGGACTATGATTTGTAGATTCTGTATCATCTGGGGAAAGCCAATACCGTCTCAGATGCTTTAAGCCGGGAATTTATTGGGAACTTGTCATATTTACTCACTGGTCAAAAAGATTTGTTGTGTGACCTAGAAAGAAATGAAATTAAAGTGGCTTTGCGCGAACATGGCGGAATTCTAGCCGTCATCTCTGCCGAGCATGCAATAATTGAAGAAATTAAAGAGAAATAGCTTGAAGATGAATTTTTAAGCAAGGTTGTGGATGAAATGGACTCAAAATCAAGGCCGGGAATCGACTTTGTGTTCCAGATTGTTTTGACTTGAAGAAACATATCATGACTAAAGCTCACAACTCTAAATTTGCTATGCACCCGAGAAACACGAAAATGTACAAGGATTTGAAACAAAATTTTTGATGGCCTGGAATAAAAAAGTGCATTGCTGACTTTGTAGCTAGATGTTAGTAGTGCTAACAAGTTAAAATTGAACATCAACGACCCGTCGGACTACTTCAGTAGCTTCCCATACCGGAATAGAAATGAGAGCATATTACCATGGACTTTATTGTAGGGTTGCCTCCCTCTTCCCGAGGTATGAACTCTATCTGGGTAATTGTTGATCGTTTAACTAAATCTGTCCACTTTTTGTTTGTCAAATCTTTGTATAATACGGATACGTTGGCTAATTTGTATGTTAATAAGATTGGGAAATTGCATAGAGTTCTAGTGTCCACAGTATCTGACAGAGATCCCAAGTTTATTTCAAGATTTTGGCAAAGTTTACAACAGGCTGTAGGAACTAAACTGAGACTAAATAGTGCTTATCATCCACAAACAAATGGCCAATCTGAACGGACTATTCAAATATTGGAAGACATGTTACGGATGTGTGTATTAGACTTTCAAGGAAATTAGGAGACCTACTTACCATTGGCCAAGTTTGTATATAACAAAAACTACAATTCGAGTATTGGTATGGCTCCTTATGAAACTTTGTATGATAGAAATACCATTCTTCGATCTGTTGGGCCAAGGTAGGTGACAGACCTTTGTTGGGATCGAAATTTGTGCAAGAAACGACAGAAAATATGAAATTGATTTAACAAAGATTGAAAACTGCACAAAGTCGTCAAAAGAGTTATGCGGATGTCCAAAGAAAAAAGTGAGAATATGAAGTCAGGGATCATGTGTTTATTAAAGTAATTCCTATGAAAGATCAAATACGGTTTGGTATGAAAGGGAAACTGGCACTGAGATATGTTTGGCCATATAAAGTTCTTGAGAAGATCAATCAAATGACATATCAGGTAGTTTTACCGCCAGTCATGGAACATATGCATATTGTTTTTCATGTTTCGATGCTTCAGGACTATTTACGAGATCCACTTCATGTGATTGTGCCAACCTATGTGCTTCTGAAAGATGACTATATGTACGAAGAGAGGCCAATTCAGATTGTGAATCGCAGAATCAAAAGATTGAGGAACAAAGAAATACCATTAGTAAAAGTTGATTGGCAAAATCACGGAGGGACATATGCAACATAGGAGATGGAAGAGGATATGATGAAAAGATACCCTGACTTGTTCCTGTTGGATCCGGTATTCTTCCAAAACGAAAGTAATTCGAGTTTGAAGGACCAAACTCTTTTAGGGGGGAAGACTGTAACAACCCCGACCCATGATTAACTATTTATCCATGATTAAATATGCCTAATAAGTAATTAAGATAAAATCATGTGTTAATTGCATGAACTACATGGTATTTGCGTTTATGTCTATCTGTTGTAGGAATATTTGTTTGTGTTTCTATTTTTTTCTACAAATTGAGGGCCTTATCGGCATCCGATCACAAAATTGACTACGGTTATGTGGTATTTGAAATTTTTAGAATTTTATGGTACGTTGAATTGAAATCCGATTCGAAATGAATTAAATTAGAATAATTAATGTCAATTTAATTAACCTAAGACAAGTTTAATTAAGCCTCCTTAATTAAGTCTATATAAGGCTAATTTGACTTTGTTAGTTCATTTTTCACCTTCATTCCATACTCTTTAAGCTCAAAAATGTGGGAGAGAGAGAGAGAGAGAAGGAAGAAAATTGAGATCAAAAGCTAGAAAATGGGGAATTGCTAGGAATTGTTGGAGAATTTGAGAGTTTAAGCTTCTACATTTGTGGATTCAAGACTCTAGATAAGAATCTTGTTCCTAAACTTTTCATTCTAGACATATGAGAAAGATTTCAAGAAATTAAGATGGCTAAACATGGGAATTAAGCTTAGATTAAGGAATTTGGGAAGAGTCATTGCATGCATGCATAATTCATGAAGTTTTGAGTTTGATTTCAAAGAATTTCCATGTGCATGTGTTCATCTTGCTTTTGTTTTGAGAATTCATGAAGTTTCATATCAAATTACCTCAATAACTTATGTATTGAAAGCTTTGAAGCCAAGATAAATTCATACATGCTATGTTCTTGAATTCTGAGTTTGAGTTTGCACAATTGACATACTTTTGGGTCTTGATTTTGCGAAATGGTTTTGAATTCATGAAGTTTGACAAGTTTATATAAGTTTCCTTAAGTTTTTGGCCCAAAAGATGAAGAGTTGCAGCTTTGGAGTTGAGTTTTGAACTGAGGAGCAAATCTGAAAATTCCAAATTCTGCTAATTCGCTCGAGCAACAGAACTTGCGTCCGAGCGACCACCTTTATTTTTGCATAAAGTTGGCTCGAGCGTAAATTGCATGCTCCCAGAAGTTTCCATGTTTTGTAGATTGCTCGAGCGATAAGAGTTGCGCTCAAGCGAAGACCTTAGTCTCACACTCGAGCGACCATCGAGTGTTCGTCGAGCAGAAAAATCAAGCAACCAGTACTTTTGCAAAGTTTACAAACTGTTTGAGCGACCAGAATTGCGCTCGAGAGACCTTCCACATTTTTGAACGTCTGTTCGAGGGAAGGAAGTTGCGCTTGTGCGAGACCCATGTTTTCAGCATATTTGCCTAAGTGTTTCTAGGTGCATTTTAGCATCCTCATTGCATCGTAAGCATACCTAGGCCAAGATTAAGACATGATAATGAGGATAAGACTTAGAAACACATGAAGAATGAAAAGAAATAAGTCAAGTAAGATCCGAGCGTGTGTTTCAGTATATGTATCTGTTATGTTTGTGTAGGTCACGCGCCATGAGCTGTTGATCCATTGGTTGCTATCAAACTATCTGTGCAACTATCAGTGAGTAATAACTTAGTAAAACTATTTTTGATATGAAGTACTTTTGTGGACATTATGATATGGTATGAACTGTTTCTAAATGATACAAAAGGCTATTTTGTGATTCCATGAATGATGATCCATATATTTGACATGTATTTGTGGTATCCTTAGCAGAGGCCCTTGCCTAGGAGACATGATACTATTGCTTATGGTCATGATGCCTCGCCCGGAGGAAAGAATATCGTGACTAGGCCCTCGCCCGAGGAAAACAATACCGTGGCCCATGTATGAGATATGTTACCCGGTACCGGAGGTTCCATTATGGAACTTGATGCTTGACCAAAGTGATATGTTAATGCTAATGGAAGTGCCACACATGATTTGAATACGATTATGAACATGACTTTGTTTTTTATATGACTATACTTATCTCTCTGATTGATATGATATGAAACTAGACATCATTCATTAATATATTTACTCTGTTATTATTCACTGAGCTTTCGCTCACTATATATATTATGTTTGTAGGTGACCAGGCGCGTGACCAAGCTTAGAGTTGATGACCTGGAGTCTCTGTTTTGTCGGCCAACCATTATGCCTCCCAAAGAGGTTTCAGAAAGAGTTTAGTAGTTGAGTTTTGCAAACTTTTGTTGTTTTGAAGAATGGATATGAAAATGACGTCATACGTGGGTTTATGTATATTAATTTTAAATGTTTTTGTTCCATATATGTCTACACAACTCTATGAACTATGTATGTTTCTGTTTTTGCTTCCGCTAGCCCTTTATAGTTTGTTATTCAAGTTCAAGGCGTTTGGTAATTCGAGGATTATTGGCCAGTTATGACGCTAAACTTAAGGGGGCGAGTTTGGGTCGTGACAGAGCCTTACAATGGCAAGAAATAACTAACTAAACAAACCTTATAATGAGAAAGAAATGATCAATTGATTCAATTATTGCCATGATTTGTCAATTAAGAATCACAAAGAATAATATATACAGGTTTACATGATTTGGAGAGGGGTATCATTACAATTTTACAAGGGATAAATAATACATAATTTTTATATATAGGGGTGATAGTATAAATCTCAAAAGTTTAGGGGAGGCACGTGACTCCCTAGTCCTTAAGTAACTCCGTCCTTGGTTACTTGTACATGTAATATATATATATATAAAGTGAATATGATCTAACAATCTAAATTATTTTTGGAGAATTTATTAGAAATTTCTCTTTCAAGTATTTGTATCTTAATTAGTCCACAAGATATTTTTGTATTCCAATAAGTCCTATTATTCTAGACATTTGATCCACCAAATCTAAATTCTTATAATTTATGGACAATTTTACAAGTATTTTTTTGAACTCTTAAAAACTTGGTGATGTGAACATAGATTAAATAAATTTGATACCCTAACCCTATTATTATTAGGGATATTTTGGTAACTATGTCATCCATAAGACTTATTGCAACATAAGAAAATAATTTGGATTAAATAGAATATAAGTAGGTGAAAAAAAAATTTATGAATAAATGTCCCATTATTTTTATTATATCATCCAATGAGTAATAATTTATACAACAATGCTAAAAGGCCACAATTTTTGTGGCCACAATGGCTCAAAACTGTCAAAACGACGTCGTTTTGGCATATTTTGCACACAAAACGACGTCGTTTTGACAGTTTTGAACTATTGTGGTCACAAAAATTGTGGCCATCAAACATTTTCCTAATTTATATGTATATTCAATATTATTATATATACAATTTGGGTTTTGAATTGCTTGGTTGTTTGGTGTCCTGTCCAAACCTGACTCAAATTCAATTCAAATTTTTGTTTAAATTCACACCTAATTTAAAATTATGTTATTCAATTTTTTTTTTAAAAAAAAAAAATCAAATTAGACTCAGGTTACTTGGGTTAAGCCTACACAAATTACATAGCTAGAAGAAAGAGAGTGCCTACAAGGGAGGAGTAGTGGTGGTGGCGGTGACGGCGAGGCGACCACAGTGACAAACAATGAATGTGTGAAGGGTGTGTTGGTGAGTAGAGAAATTTTGTATTTTTTTTTTTTAAGTGGTGGAAATTTTAGTACTTAAAATTTTAGTTTACAAATATAAATATAATAGTAATAAGAAAAATACAAAAATAATAGGGCGGTAAAGAGACAAATAGAACCCATAATATCAAAAATAAAATAAAAATAAAAATAAAAAAAGGACATGGCTATTTAGCATTCGTTTGGCATAAGGTTACGGAATTAAAATAGTTACAAAAAGATAAAATAGACTAAAAAAATAATAAAATAAAATGTCACATTTTAACCATAACCATTTTATTTATTCTCTTACAAAAGTAAAAAAAAAAAATATCAAAAAGCTCATATCAAACAAGACTCTTTAGTCCCAGATTAAAAAATTCAAAAAAAATCAAGAAGCCAACATAATTTAAAAAGTTAGTCAAAAGCTAACTTTTTGACTTTGTTTTGTGTGTGTAAAAAATACAAGAGCGACTTAAAATAGATTAAAAGATAAAAGCTAATTTTTTAACTTTTTTTTTGGATAAAAAATGTGAGAAGTGATGCGACTCAAAATGGATTAAAAGACAAAAGCTAGCTTTCCAAAATTCCCCCGACTATTTTAATTAAAATAATTTTGTTTGAGAAGTTAGTTGATTTTTTTATAGTAAATTTAATAATTAAAAAAAAATAAAATAATTATAAATTGAATCTAACATTTTATTTTATTAATTAATTATTTTAATTTATTTTATCTTTTAATAAATTATTTAAAATTAGTCGTCCTTCCAAACAAGGCTATAGAAGTAGAAGAAGTGGAGCCCTGGGGGAGAATCCAGATCCATATTTTTTTGTTTTATAGTCTGGTGAGAAATTTCTTGAAGTGGAAGCCAAGCCAAACATGCCTCCATTATTGTCCATTGAAACAATTCCACCTTTCGCAAGCCCCAACGTCATACGAGGTTGTAAAAACCGTAACACCCCCATAAAAACAAACGACCCCTTATCTTGTCTTATATACAACACCTCCCTTAAACCCTCGTCGACCAGAGGCCGCCGCATACTCCATTTTCTCTCTCTCTCTCTAACATGCCTACTTTCACGACCATTGCTTGGGAGACCTTGTTCGAGACCAGACCTCGAGCTTCGTACCAAAATCTCCTCAATTCGAATCAACAACAACAACAACAACAATTCCCCAAATCTTATGCTGTTGATGATGAAAATGATGCGAAGAAGAAGAAGGAGATGGAGAGAGTTCAGACTCCGAATCATATATTCATAACACCGGCTCTCTATGTAACTCCACAACCTACTCCCATTCCCGATTCTTCCTCCGATCCTCATTCTCCCTCTCCTTACGTCGTCAACCACAAACGCCGCCGCGGAGATGCCCTCACTCGTCCTTTTAGTGGATTTCATGAGACTCCGCCGCCGCAGGAGTCTCGTGATTCGGATTCGGACTGTGAAGAAGTGACGGATGATGTCTTTTTGGGCGCGGAGATTGACAGAAATGGAGGTTCTGTGGCTGATGATGGTGATGGTGATGATGATGATGATTTTTTTAGTCATTGCTGTGACTCGGTGAGTGTAGCTAGCTCGAATGGTGTGACTGATTTTGGGAAGCGAGCTGAGAGTCGGAGTTATGTGTCTAACCAGGGCGAATTCTTTGATGCCGATGAAGGTCTATTCTTATCCCTCGTATCCTATTGCCTCTTCTGTTCATTAGCTATTGAAAATTAATGGCCAAATTGTACTTGTCCTGTCATTTTTATTTTCTACAGTTTTAATTAGCTTAATTTTGACCTTTAATTTTAAATATTTTAATCCAATTAATAACGTCGTTAGGTTTTTGATGTAAAATGAACAGTGAGTTGGTAAAGGTGAAGTCAATGAATTGATAAAATTTATAATTTTGTTCTTAAAAATATAACACGTGTGCTAGTATGCACACTTGTCATTAAAAAATGATAACAATTGAAATCAATTGGATTAATTTGAGACAAAGTCAAAAATTTAGATTTCAAAATTGAGCCAATTGAAATTATAGGGACTAAAATGACACAAAAAACAAAGTCTATGGAGTAACAATATAAATTGTCCAATAATTGTGCTTAAATAATGAAATTATTTGTATTTATCAGTTTCATCTTGCATGTGAAATACCTAATTTTTTTTGTCACACAGATCTTTGCTAAAACTTGTCAGTCATTATTATGTATTAACAAAAAATTAAAATTGTATTACTGCAAAAGATAATAGGTAGAATCAATCAATGAAATACAATTTTCAATGAACAAATAAAAATTATTCATGTAGACTGTGAATTGGTATATAGTTTGTGACCTTGATTTGGCCAAAACTGGCACAAATGTATATCATTTTGGGGATATTACCAATCAGTGGTAATAGGAAAAATGTTTTACAAAATCATGAAAAGTTTTATTTTATAATTTTGATTATTAATATCTATAAAATTTGTCACTTATTTATAATTATTTTTGCAAATATGAACTGATTTGTAATTTTCCAGATCATTTTCCCTTAAACAATTTCAATTGACCATGTCTGCTTCTACACAACACTAAAAGCTGCTAAAGGTATCCAATAATCTAAGTTTCTCATGAACTAGTCTAGTCTTGGTTTCCATTCACCCTTGATGAATGCAGATGGTCATGTGTTTTCTGCTGAAAGTTGGGAACTTAATGCTGTGTGCCCTCCTCCTGTCCCTATTTTAAAAGTGAACTGCCTAAATTTTGCAAATGGACAGTTTGAAGTGGCAAGGATTGAAATCTTCAAAGTTCAAAGATTAGCTTGACTCAAGGCTTATGCTATTTCTTAAAATTTGGAAGTTCTTAGCATCTTGTGGGAGAGACACATAGATTACTAGTTTGCTTTAGTTTTGAGATTTCTAGGTTTTGGTTCGTTCCTGTGATTGATTTGCTTTCTTCAAACTATGCCAGTGTGCATTATTCTAGTGTCCTGTAGTTCATATAGAAAGTATGTTATGCACATACAAAGAATATGATCCATTTTTCTCGTCATACAATTCTGAATCACCTTTTCGTAGAGTTTACATTGAGATGATTCCTATAGTATTCTGGTTATTGCTAATAAAATAAAATAAACGAAAGATATTCTAGTACCTGGTTTAGGAACAAGTTGAAGTTTGTATTTAAAATTTTCACAAATCATGATGGCTAACTTGATTATTGTTTTATCTTCTACTATTTGAGCAAGATATTGGATAATTTGTTGGTGTCGTCTTGCAATAGAATTTGAAAGTGCTTCAGATTTGACAGTGTCTTTTTTTGTAACTGATATGTGCAGTTTTGTCCTCTGATGGATCTGTTTCAAATTCATCTTCTTATGGACCAAGAATTGAATCAGAGCTGCGTGCCACAAGGCTCAGTCTTCTTGAGGAGATTGAGAGACGAAAGACTGCAGAGTATGCTGTTGCTAAAATGTACAGCCAATGGCAGAGGCTAGGCAATCTTCTATCCCAAACAGGGCTAACATGTCCTACATCACCAAATGCTACTAGCATGCAGTTTGAGATTGATTCATTAGAGCAGTTCTGCCAGGAACTTGTTGTTTCTAGATTTGTTGCCGAATCAATAGGAAGGGGTGAAGCACGTGCTGAAGCTGAAATAGCTGCAGAGGCAATCTATGAATTGAAAGACCAGGAAATCTCCCGATTGCGAGACAGACTGCAATACTATGAAGCTGCTAATCATGAAATGTCCCAGAGGAACCAGGAAGTTATGGGTATGTGCCTGTCATCTTTGGTTTACACATATATCTGGTTTACTCTATGTTTTATTGTTTGAGGCATCCTAAGCCAACTAGCCTATCTATCCATAAACATTTGCCAACAATTTGCTTGACATGCTTGTGCTTAATGTTTTATTTGCATGCTTCTTTACATAAAAATCATACCACTTTGTTCTTAATTAAGTGTTTTAAAAGCATGAAAGTTACGTATGTATAGATTATGTTATGTAAGATCAGACTTGAAGACTTTCTTTCGACAAACTTTTCACATGATATCAAGGTTTTGGAGTTTTGATGCCGATGCAAATATGGGAGGAGTTTAGAAGATATGCATCTTTCTTGGGTAAAAAAAACAGTGAATCGACTACAAATTGGTCTTCAACACATACTATTACTTTTTCTGTATAATTGACATCCACCACATCTAGAATGGGGGTTCTTCTCCCTCTCATTTATGGGACAAGGAATATCTCTAACAGCCTTAACCTGCTTTGCCACTATTTCTGACTTCATGTGCAAGCCATAACCACTCCCCATATCTGCTTTTGGCAACACAATACAATATCAAAATCAATGCCATGTGGAGCTTGACCATCAAGGTTTTGAACCTGATGATTAAAGAGTAGGGCCCAGGTCCATAGCTTCAATACAACAGTTGAGTCAGTTGGTGCAAATTGGCAACTAGGTACATCAGAGCAACATATGAGCAAAGCTGACAAGAGTAAAATTATGGGAAAATGCTATACAAACTAGTAAATTTTACGAATTTTCTTACTTACAAATGTGGCATGCACCAATAGAACTTAGGAATTTGAAACAAGACCTATTATAATAATATGATAGGGACAATTAATGTAAGGAAAATTTGTCTAGCATTTACTCAAAACTTGTGTAGTGTAATATGTGCTTACTCAAACCTCATAATCTGGTTATCGATTGTCACACTGGCACCAGCAAGTTCCTAGTATGCACCTGACTAACCAATCTCGTTAGAATGTCACCTATTTAATTCTGAACTTCATATCCAAGGGGGAAAGGGCAAATTTCTTTTCAACTTTGGCATTTCATTTCTTTTGTTAGCCTCTGTTAAATCTCCATTGTTGATCTTGTTCAAAAGATTCTGAATGCCACCTGTTTTCAACGACCCTTGTTCATTTTAGTTTTCGCCACATTTTAAACCACAAAAATGTAATCATGCACGTCATGGTATTAGCAGCCATTTGTTTTTAAAGTCATGGTGGCCAAGTTTTCACTTGATTTAATCATTCATTCTTTAATGTCAAATTATGCAGAGGTTGCGCGGAGGCAACGACAAAGGAGGAAAAGTCACCAGCGGTGGTGGATATGGGGTTGTATAGGAATGTCAGTGACAATTGGGGCTTCTGTGATTGCTTACTCATACCTTCCACAGATGGGTAAGCCTCATATGTTGCCAAGTTCAAGTGACTCTTCTGATGCTTCTTGCATTACTTCAACAGGATCAGCTAATTCGTAGTAATCTACTGAAAATTTATTTGGCTCAACTTCCAAACAGTGCTTTTTTTGGGGACCTCTTTATGGATATAGGATATTATTGCAGGGCTTGTAGGTTGAATCTTGAAGCAATGACCCGACTGCTTCTCGCACAATTTTGTATCATCTTGTTACTGAATTTTGATGTTTTTTTCAAAGTTTTCGAGATGGAGATGCCTCGGTTTCATCTGTGTAACATTTTGGCCTTGTTTAGAGTAGGATTATATAATTGCTTAAAACATTTCTTATGTTTTTATTTTATTATATATATTTTGAAAATCTATGCTAGAATGTTTAGTACAATAAATCAAAAATAGCTTAAACAATTATTGAAAAGCTGAGTGATGAATATTTTTTTTCTATATTCTGATTAGCAAGAAATTGCACCACACAAAACCTTTGCAAGTTAACTTTTTCCACCCGCCTGCGAGAGTGAAGGTACTTGCCATAAACCAAATCAATAAAACTATTTACATAATTTTGGCCCATTTGCAAATCTATCTCTCTCACTCTCTCTATATATACATACACACAAATATTAAAAAAAAATTATTGGCACCAGGATGTCCGAATCAAAGCACGTCTAATCCCCAAGAGTACGCAGACCCTCTGCAAGGCATTTCTTACAAGTACACCACTGCATGGTTTTAAAAACCGGACCGGACCGGACCGGCCAGTTCGACCGGTTGAACCATCGACCAGTCGAGGTTCTGGTCCAGATATACCCTCTGAACTGGTTGAAGCCAAAAACTGGTGTATTTAGAGAGAACCGGAAAAACCGACGGTTGAACAGCCGAACAGGCGCCGGTTCACCGGGTTATTTAGATTGAAAATTTTGAACTTTTTTTTGGATATTTTCTATTTTTTTATTCTTTTTTTCTTTCTTATTATATATATATATATAAAAAGAAAACTTTCTTTTATATATATATATATATATAAGAAAATTGTAATTATAAACTCTCTTTCAAGGGTCTCCTTTTGTGAAGAATCTCATTGGGAGCTTGAAATTATTGTGAAAGTCTCTACCTATTTATAAGAAAAAAATTCTTCCAAAAAAACTCAAAAAATCTATGTGAGATTTAATTAAATTTGTTGGAGGAATGCTTGAAATTTTGATATCCCTCCAAAATTTTGTGCTTTCTTTCAATTAAATTATTTGAATTAAAATCATATGGAGGGAATATTGAATATTTGATTTTCTCTTCCATAATTAAAATTATTAATATTTTAAAATATATTATTATATTTTTTAGTAAAAAAAATATTAGGAGAAATATTTAAGATAATTTAATATTTTATTTTTTTTAATTTTTAATTTTATTACTTATATTTTTATTTAAATATAAATTTAATATATTTATTACGTCACGGTTCGATTCCGATTCAATCCAACGGTTGAACTAGTGACACGTCCACCCAATCTCTTTTTTGATTCAATCACCGGTCCGATTTTTAAAACATTACTATTAATTAAAGAATTTTTCCCTCAGTCCAATAGCCTCAAAAAATTATTAGCACATTCCTAAACCTTAGAGGAAGCACACCCCCCAAAGCCCCAGGCTATAACTTCTACATGACTACATATGTAGAGATATAGATTATTTTGGATATAGAGGAAGCTAAGGACGGAGGTGGAACTAGGGAGAGACATTTCTACCACCTAATTTTACTTTCAACTTAAAAAGGAAGCTTGTGGTGTTTGCATAAGGGAAAAAGAAAAAATCTGAATTGCATCTACAACTAGCACTTTTTTTAAGTGTGCCTTGCATATGGTATGCAAGGCACTTACATCCTTCTATTTTGCATTTACACATTTGTATGTATTGGGTTATATCAAAATATTTGAAAACTTGCACATTGGTGACCTGCTAAGCAGGTCACTTTCCAGGTAAATTAATAAAATAATATATTATATGACTAAAGGTGTAAATGGTCACAAAAAATGTATAAGTTTTCACAAAAGGGATATATTTTCACGAAAGGCGTAAGGAATTTCAAAAAAAAAGCGTAATTGATTTCTGAAAAGTTACACCTTTTTCTGAAAACTTACGCCTTCTGTGAATTCATTTACACATTTTATGAACACTTACTCCTTTTGTGAGTTGACTTACCAAAGGTGTAAACAAACGGAAAACTTATACATTTTGCTTAAGCTACACCTTTTCGTGAAAATACTTACACCATTTTTTGAAAAGTTACTCCTTTTGTGTAAGAATTTTTGGCATAACATTTATACCTTCTCTTCGAACTTACACCTTTTGTGGAAGCGCAACTTAAGCTTTTTCGGAAGTCATTTATACCTTTTGTGAAAAAATAAATTCATCAAATTTACACATTTTGCTTCAGCTTATACCTTTTCGTGGAAGTACTTATATTTTTTTTGAAAAGTTACTCCTTTTGTGTAAGAATTTTTGGCATAAGATTTATACCTTTTGCTTCGAACTTACACCTTTTGTGGAAGCCCAACTTAAAGCTTTTCGGAAGTCACTTATATCTTTTGTGAAAAAATAAATTCATCAAATTTACAACTTTTGCTTCAACTTATACTTTTTCATGGAAGTGCTTATATTTTTTTTGAAAAGTTACTCCTTTTGTGAAATAATTTTTGTCATAAGATTTATATTTTTTCTTCAAACTTACACCTTTTGTGAAAGAGTATATAAGCACAAAAGTATAAATGTTATGCCAAAAATTCTTACACAAAAGGAGTAACTTTTCAAAAATGGTGTAAGTCTTTTCAGGAAAAGGTGTAAGCTTAAGCAAAAGGTGCAAAATTCATGAATTTTTTTTTTCACAAAAGGTATAAGTGACTTCCGAAATAGCTTTAAGTTGGGCTTTCACAAAAGGTGTAAGTTCGAAGAAAAAGTATAAATCTTATGTCAACAATTCTTACACAAAAAGGAGTAACTTTTCAAAAATAGTGTAAATATTTTCACGAAAAGTATTGGTCTGTCTGTGTCGATGTCGATGTCGGTCTGTCTATCGATCTTGGTCTCTCTGTGTCGATGTCGGTCTCTCACCCACGAAAATAGTGTAAATATTTTCACGAAAAGTATTGGTCTGTCTGTCTATTGATCTTGGTCTCTCTGTGTCGATGTCGGTCTCTCTTTGTCGATCCCTGTTTATCTCGGTCTGTCTCCAGCAATCTTGGTCTGTCTGTGTCCATGTGGGTCTCTTCTCTGTCGATCTCTGTCGATTTCGGTCCCTCTGTCGATCAGTGTCCATCTAGGTCTCTATGTCTGCTGATCTCAATCTATCTCTCTCTCTCTCTCTCTCTCTGTCCGTTGCTCTATATTAAAAACGTTTCTCTTTTACATTGACATACATGGTTGGATTTGGGCTCGGAGTCGCTATTCCAAGCCCTCCCAGACTCGTCTTCTTTGAAACGGAGTTCTACTGGGAGAAAGGCCAAGCCCTCCGAAACGCCCTTCTCTCTGACATTGCCATTATCTAAACAAGACAAATACAGTGTGATTGGATTTTAGGAACTTACAAAAAAAAAGGAACTTAGACGTTTTGCGAAGTTACTTACATCTCTTTGTGGGATAAGATTTATACTTTTTCTTCGAACTTACACCGTTTGTGAAAGCCCAACTTAAAGCTTTTTCAGAAGTCACTTATACCTTTTGTGAAAAAAAAAAATCATCAAATTTACAAATTTTGGTTAAGGTTACAGCTTTTCGTGGAAGTGCTTACACTATTTCTGAAAACTTACTCCTTTTGTGTAAAAATTTTTGTCATAAGATTTATACGTTTTCTCCGAACTTACACCTTTTGTGAAAGTCCAACTTAAAGCTTTTTCGGAAGTCACTTATACCTTTTGTGAAAAAATAAATTCATCAAATTTACACTTTTTGCTTAAGCTTATACCTTTTCGTGGAACTGCTTATATTTTTTTTTAAAAGTTACTCCTTGTGTAAGAATTTTTGGCATAAAATTTATAGATTTTGCTTAGAACTTACACCTTTTGTGGAAGCCCAACTTAAAGCTTTTTCGGAAGTGCTTATATTTTTTGAAAAGTCACTTATATTTTTTTTGAAAAGTTACTCCTTTTGTGTAAGAATTTTTGGCATAAGATTTATACATTTTCTTCGAACTTACACCGTTTGTGGAAGCCCAACTTAAAGCTTTTTCGGAAGTCACTTATACCTTTTGTGAAAAAATAAATTCATCAAATTTACACCTTTTACTTAAGCTTATACCTTTTCGTGGAAGTGCTTATATTTTTTTTGAAAAGTTACTCATTTTGTGTAAGAATTTTTGGATTAAAGCTTATTCGGAAGTCACTTATACCTTTTGTGAAAAAATAAATTCATCAAATTTACACCTTTTGCTTCAGCTTATACCTTTTCGTGGAAGTGCTTATATTTTTTTTGAAAAGTTACTCCTTTTGTGAAATAATTTTTGTCATAAGATTTATACTTTTTCTTCAAACTTACACCTTTTGTGAAAGAGTATATAAGCACAAAAGTATAAATGTTATGCCAAAAATTCTTACACAAAAGGAGTAACTTTTCAAAAATGGTGTAAGTATTTTCAGGAAAAGGTGTAAGCTTAAGCAAAAGGTGCAAAATTCATGAATTTTTTTTCCACAAAAGGTATAAGTGAATTCCGAAATAGCTTTAAGTTGGGCTTTCACAAAAGGTGTAAGTTCGAAGAAAAAGTATATATCTTATGCCAACAATTCTTACACAAAAGTAGTAACTTTTCAAAAATTGTGTAAATATTTTCACGAAAAGTATGAAGGAGTAACATTTCAAAGTGTTGATAACCAGAAAAGGAGTAACAAAGGGTTCATTTCAAAATGTTCGTAAACACAGAAGGAGTAACATATGTTCATCTCAAAGTAGTAGACACAAAAGGAGTAACATTTCGAAGTGTTCATAAACCAATTGAGACAACCACTAAACAAATCAAAGGGTTCGTGACCCCCACTGACCACCCAAGCGTCGGTGGGCTCCGGTGCTCACAGCCTTTTGAGATCGGCACCTCCACTTGCACCGCCGCCGCAAATCAAAGGTTTTTTGAAAGATTGGCTATCGATCTTGGTCTCTCTGTGTCGATGTCGGTTTCTCTCTGTCGATCCCTGTTGATCTCGGTCTGTCTCCAGCGATCTTGGTCTGTCTGTGTCCATGTGGGTCTTTTCTCTGTCGATCTCTGTCGATTTCGGTCCCTCGTCGATCAGTGTCCATCTAGGTCTCTATGTCTGTTGATCTCAGTCTAACTCTCTCTCTCTCTCTCTGTGTCTGTCCGTTGCTTTATATTAAAAACGGTTCTC